AGTTAGAAAAAAGGGGATCGCAAAAAACAAACTCTTCCTAAACACTGACAAAACTGTCACAATGCTCTTTGGAACAGTACCTAAATTACACAAATTACACAATCCCCACCTATCCATCAAAACAAAATCAAATGGCACACTGACCGCAGTCCACTCTTTCAAATACTTGGGTATGATATTAGACCCCAATCTATCTTTTGGCCTGCACATAGAAAAACTTGCATCTAAACTTTATCCAAAATTAGGTGCCCTGTACAGAAACAAAGCCTGCCTAAGCCCTACAGTAAAGGAAAGGATTGTACAGCAAATGCTGATGCCAATCATTGATTATGGGGATGTAGTATATGCATCTGCATCGCAATCCCACATTAATAAACTCAACACATTGTATAACTCGTTCTGCCGATTTGTGCTACAATGTAATTACAGGATCCACCATCATTACATGCTAATAGAAGTAAACTGGCTGTCGCTGGAATCCTGAAGCACCCTTCATCTTTCCAGCCTTGTTTTAAAGAGCTTTTCTGGGAAACTCCCACCCTACCCGAACACAATTCTTTCCTCAGCTGTTCCCACCTCCTATAACCTCCGATCCAGTACCAGCACTTTATTTAGTATATCTCAATACAAAAAGAAAGTGGCCCGATCCTCCTTTTCCTACAGAGCACCGCAACTATGGAACGACCTCCCGCACACTTTCAAACCCTCCCCAGGCCTAAAATCCTTTAAGTGATCCCTCTCTACATACCTCAAAACAGAATGCACCTGTCATGGTTGATTATATATTTCCTGCCTGCTCTATGTTAAATTTGTATATATTGTTTACTAATATTGTTTTTGTATTTTATTGTATCCTATTGTATCAATGCAATGTTTGTGGACCCAGGACATACTTGAAAACGAGAGAAATCTCAATGTATCCTTCCTGCTAAAATATTTTCTTAATACATAAATTGTTTGTGCTGCCATGCAGTAGGTGTCACCCGAGAAGGAAATCATTCAATTTCTGCACGTCAAGAAAATTCGGCTTGTCCCAAAAAAAAAAACTGTTTTGTCTGTGTGGTGCTTCACTTTGACTGAATTTCATCCATGCGACTTAATTTTATATTTTTAAACAAACTAAAATGGTGCGAAATTGCGCAAATTAGTGTATTGCAATGTAAAAAAGGCTAAAATATTGCCCTCTGCATTAATACAGGAAGGCTGTGCAAGTCACATGTATGGAGGTGTGCCAAGGGCTGTATAAATAAAGTGATATCCTGTAATATTAATAACTGATATCAATGGATACAGAGTTAACCCCTCCATGCCTGTAATATTAATAAATGATATCAATGGATACAGTTAATCCCTCCCTGCCTGTAATATTAATAACATAATCAATGGATACAGAGTTAATCCCTCTCTGTAATATTAATAAATGATATTAATGGATAGAGAGTTAACCCCTCCCTGCCTGTAATATTAATAACTGATATCAATGGATACAGTTAACCCCTCCCTGCCTGTAATATTAATAAATGATATCAATGGATACACAGTTAACCCCTCCCTGCTTGTAATATTGATAACTGATATCAATGGATACAGTTAACCCCTCCCTGCCTGTAATATGAATAAATGATATCAATGGATACAGAGTTAACCCCTCCCTGCCTGTAATATTGATAACTGATATCAATGGATACAGTTAACCCCTTCCTGCCTGTAATATTAATAACTGATATCAATGGATACAGAGTTAACCCCACCCTGTCTGTAATATTAACAACTGATATCAATGGATACAGAGTTAACCCCTCCCTGCCTGTAATATTAATAACTGATATCAATGGATACAGAGTTAACCCCTCCCTGTCTGTAATATTAATAACTGATATCAATAGATACAGAGTTAACCCCTCCCTGTCTGTAATATTAATAACTGATATCAATGGATACAGAGTTAACCCCTCCCTGCCTGTAATATTAATAACTGATATCAATGGATACAGTTAACGCCTCACTGCCTGTAATATTAATAACTGATATCAATGGATACAGAGTTAACCCCTCCCTGCCTGTAATATTAATAACTGATATCAATGGATACAGTTAACGCCTCCCTTTCTGTAATCTTAATAACTGATATCAATGGATACAGAGTTAACCCCACCCTGTCTGTAATATTAATAAATTATGTTACTGGATAGAGAGTTAACCCCTCCCTGTCTGTAGTATTAATAACTGATATCAATGGATACAGTTAACCCCTCCCTGCCTGTAATATTAATAACTGATATCAATGGATACAGTTAACGCCTCCCTGTCTGTAATATTAATAACTGGTATCAATGGATACAGAGTTAACCCCTCCCTGCCTGTAATATTAATAACTGATATCAATGGATACAGAGTTAACCCCTCCCTGCCTGTAATATTAATAACTGATATCAATGGATACAGTGTTAATTCCTCCCTGTCTGTAATATTAATAACTGATATCAATGGATACAGAGTTAACCCTTCCCTGTCTGTAATATTAATAACTGATATCAATGGATAGTTAACCCCTCCCTGCCTGTAATATTGATAACTGATATCAATGGATACACAGTTAATCCCTCCCTGTCTGTAATATTAATAACTGATATCAATGGATACAGAGTTAACACCTCCCTGTCTGTAATATTAATAAATGATATCAATGGATACAGAGTTAACCCCTCCCTGTCTGTAATATTAATAACTGATATCAATGGATACAGTTAACCCCTCCCTGCCTGTAATATTGATAACTGATATCAATGGATACACAGTTAATCCCTCCCTGTCTGTAATATTAATAACTGATATCAATGGATACAGAGTTAACACCTCCCTGTCTGTAATATTAATAACTGATATCAATGGATAGTGTTAATTCCTCCCTGCCTGTAATATTAATAGCTGATATCAATGGATACAGAGTTAACCCCTCCCTGCCTGTAATATTAATAACTGATATCAATGGATACAGTTAACCCCTCCCTGCCTGTAATATTGATAACTGATATCAATGGATACACAGTTAACACCTCCCTGTCTGTAATATTAATAACTGATATTAATGGATACAGTTAATCCCTCCCTGTCTGTAATATTAATAACTGATATCAATGGATACACAGTTAACACCTCCCTGTCTGTAATATTAATAACTGACATTAATGGATACAGTTAACCCCTCCCTGCATCTAATATTAATAACTGATATTAATGGATACAGTTAATCCCTCCCTGCATCTAATATTAATAACTGATATCAATGGATACACAGTTAATGGATACAGTTAACGCCTCCCCACTGTAATATTAATACTGATATCAATGGATACAGAGTTAACCCCTCCCTGCTGTAATATTAATAACTGATATCAATGGATAGTGTTAATTCCTCCCTGCCTGTAATATTAATAGCTGATATCAATGGATACAGAGTTAACCCCTCCCTGCCTGTAATATTAATAACTGATATCAATGGATACAGTTAACCCCTCCCTGCCTGTAATATTAATAAATGATATCAATGGATACAGAGTTAACCCCACCCTGTCTGTAATATTAACAACTGATATCAATGGATACAGAGTTAACCCCTCCCTGCCTGTAATATTAATAACTGATATCAATGGATACAGAGTTAACCCCTCCCTGTCTGTAATATTAATAACTGATATCAATAGATACAGAGTTAACCCCTCCCTGTCTGTAATATTAATAACTGATATCAATGGATACAGAGTTAACCCCTCCCTGCCTGTAATATTAATAACTGATATCAATGGATACAGAGTTAACCCCTCCCTGCCTGTAATATTAATAACTGATATCAATGGATACAGTTAACCCCTCCCTGCCTGTAATATTGATAACTGATATCAATGGATACACAGTTAACACCTCCCTGTCTGTAATATTAATAACTGATATTAATGGATACAGTTAATCCCTCCCTGTCTGTAATATTAATAACTGATATCAATGGATACACAGTTAACACCTCCCTGTCTGTAATATTAATAACTGACATTAATGGATACAGTTAACCCCTCCCTGCATCTAATATTAATAACTGATATTAATGGATACAGTTAATCCCTCCCTGCATCTAATATTAATAACTGATATCAATGGATACACAGTTAATCCCTCCCTGCCTGTAATATTAATAACTGATATCAATGGATACAGTTAACCCCTCCCTGCATGTAATATTAATAACTGATATCAATGGATACAGTTAACCCCTCCCTGCATGTAATATTAATAACTGATATTAATGGATACAGTTAATCCCTCCCTGCCTGTAATATTAATAACTGATATCAATGGATACACAGTTAACACCTCCCTGTCTGTAATATTAATAACTGATATTAATGGATACAGTTAATCCCTCCCTGCCTGTAATATTGATAACTGATATCAATGGATACACAGTTAACACCTCCCTGTCTGTAATATTAATAACTGATATTAATGGATACAGTTAACCCCTCCCTGTCTGTAATATTAATAACTGATATTAATGGATACAGTTAACCCCTCCCTGCCTGTAATATTAATAACTGATATCAATGGATACACAGTTAACACCTCCCTGTCTGTAATATTAATAACTGATATTAATGGATACAGTTAACCCCTCCCTGCCTGTAATATTAATAACTGATATCAATGGATACAGAGTTAACCCCTCCCTGCCTGTAATATTAATAACTGATATCAATGGATACAGAGTTAACCCCTCCCTGCCTGTAATATTAATAACTGATATCAATGGATACAGAGTTAACCCCTCCCTGCCTGGTGTGAATGGTGTGTAATAGATCATTATTAGATGTAATTAATGGCTCCCTGCAGTACTTTGTTTGTTTTAGAGTTAGATTTGAGAAGTTTAAAATGTAATTTATAGTTCAGCCCGCCCCCTCCTCTCTGTCTAGTGGGAGGGACTACAACTCCCGGCATGCCTCGCGCCCCACCCACCCTGGGAGCCCAGCGCCTGGTTTGTGCTGAGATGAGAGCGGCCGGGGGGCAGCATGGAGGACACAGGTCAGAGGGGGCACCCTGCATGTGGGAATGGGCGTATTCATGGCTCTATATCAGACAGCTAGTATGGGGGGAGCTGGCATAGAGATAGCTGGCACTGGGAGGGGACTGGCACAGACTGGGCAATGGGAGACAGGCTGTGAGACTGGCATAGACTGGGCAATGGGAGACAGGCTGTGAGACTGGCACAGACTGGGCAATGGGAGACAGGCTGTGAGACTGGCATAGACTGGGCAATGGGGGACAGGCTGTGAGACTGGCACAGAATGGGCAATGGGAGTCAGGCTGTGAGACTGGCATAGACTGGGCAATGGGGGACAGGCTGTGAGACTGGCACAGAATGGGCAATGGGAGTCAGGCTGTGAGACTGGCACAGAATGGGCAATGGGAGACAGGCTGTGAGACTGGCACAGAATGGGCAATGGGAGACAGGCTGTGAGACTGGCACAGAATGGGCAATGGGAGACAGGCTGTGAGACTGGCACACACTGGGCAATGGGAGTCAGGCTGTGAGACTGGCACAGACTGGGCAATGGGAGACAGGCTGTGAGACTGGCATAGAATGGGCAATGGGAGTCAGGCTGTGAGACTGGCACAGACTGGGCAATGGGAGACAGGCTGTGAGACTGGGCAGTGGGAGTCAGGCTGTGAGACTGGCACAGACCTTGGAAATGGGAGACAGGCTGTGAGACTGGCACAGAATGGGCAATGGGAGTCAGACCGTGAGATGGGTACTGGCATATACTGGGCAATGGGAGACAGGCTGTGAGATGGAGACTGGCACAGACTGGGGAATGGGCAATGTGAGTCAGGAATGTGAGATGGGGACTGGCACAGGCTGGGCAATGGGAGACAGGCTGTGAGATGGAGACTGGGGAATGGGAGTCCGGCTGTGAGATGGAGATTGGCATAGACTGGGCAATGGGAGTCAGGCTGTGAGATGGGGACTGGCATAGACTGGGCAATAGGAGACAGGCTGTGAGATATAGACTGGCACAGAATGCGTAATGGGAGACAAGCTGGGAGACTGGCACAGACTGGGTAATGGGAGACATGCTGTGAGATGGAAACTGGCACAGAATGGGCAATGGGAGACAGGCTGTGATATGGAGACTGGCACAGACTGGGCAATGGAAGACAGGCTGTGAGATGGAGACTGGCACAGACGGGCAATGGAAGACAGGCTGTGAGACTGGCACAGAATGGGCAATGGGAGTCAAGCTGTGAGATGGGTACTGGTCAATGGGAGTCAGGCTGTGAGATGGAGACTGACATAGATTGGGGAGTAGGAGACAGGCTGTGAGATGGAGACTGGCATAGAATGGGCAGTAGGAGACAGGCTGTGAGATGGGGACTGACAGGCGTCCTTGCATAGAATGGGCCTGGCCTTGAGAGGCATCTCTGAGCGCTGCCTGTCCCTGAGAGGCGTCTCTGAGCACTAATAAATTCAGCACTGGTACCTGGCGTTCAGTGGGCGGACTAGATGCCAGGAATGGAGACAGATAGGCAGAGACCATTGTCCATTCAACCAGCGCAGATTATAGTGAGGATATTGCTTTATTTCCTGTTCAGAATGTGTTAAAAGATTGTCAGAAAAGCTGGGCACTCTGTCATCCATTCTGAGTATTAACAGGGTTTCTAGTGACCTGTCAGGTGGCAGGGTGCGCCAAGCCCACTGTACAGGTGGTTAAGCTCATTATTGGGTTGTAGATCATGTGGGTAGAAAATTACTTAGTGCTTGTCCTACGTCTGTCTTTGCCCAAACAAGGGACAGCTGACTGCGATCTAACATTGATAATTTGCTGCACAACATGTTATTCTAGGTGATCCTATGGAAAGGGGGTTCTTTAACCCCTTAAGGACACATGACATGTGTGACATGTCATGATTCCCTTTTATTCCAGAAGTTTGGTCCTTAAGGGGTTAAATGGGTATTCTTCCATGTTAGAAATGAGAAAAGCAGGCAGCGGTCTCAAAATATACTTTCGCTAATAATTATAAACATACACAATCTCATGGAGAGGTAATAATGTGTGTGTCAGGAAGGGGTTAAGAAGCCTTATTTACTTGGCAACAAACATTTATTTTTCATTGCTTTTGGCATGGTGACATATGGCTTCCTTAGAATTATTCTAGCCTTGGGAAAATGAGGAAATTCCATTTTATTTAAAGACAGTTCTTCCTTTCCAGTAATCACTATAATTCTCCACTCTGTCATGTCCAGGGCGATGACGTCTGCTGATAAACACCATATTAGAGAACGTGGAGTCTGAATACCATCTATAGCTCTGCGTTCACCCTCACTGCGCCGTTATCGCCATGGATTTAAAACAAACTGTCATAGTGTGCTCAGGACTAGGACAGCCAAGAATTAAAAGTAAATAAATGACTAGCCAATACTAACTTGTGTCGGGGAATAATATCAGAAGTGACCGTTTTAAAGAGCCAGTTGTTTAAAGGAGCACTATAGGGTCAGGAACACTGGCCCCCTCTTGCCTCCATAAATATAGTAAAATCTTACTTGTATTCAGGCCTGAAGCTGCTGGCTCTGCCTCAGACCTGTGAGCTGTCTGCTGATATCATCAGAAATGTTATTCTGAGCCAATCGTAATGCTTCTCTATAGGATTGGCTGCACAATTCAAACACAGCCCTGGCCAATCAGCATCTCCTCATAGAGATGAATTGAATCAATGTATCTCTATGAGGAAAGCTCAGTGTCTGCATGCAGAGGGAGGAAATACTGAATGTTGTGATGCACACAAGGCAAGACTGAAATAGGAAGCGGCTCTAGCAGCCATCTGAGGAGTGGCCACTGAAGTTATCACTAGGCTGTAATGTAAACACTGCATTTTCTACGAAAAGACAGTGTTTACAGCAAAAAGTCTGAAGGTAATGATTCAACTCACCAGAACAAATTAAATAGGCTGTAGTTGTTCTGGTGACTATAGTGTCCATTTAATACAAGAGTAACCAGGACAAAGCAGTCAATATGTATCAAAGTGTCATATTCCACAATGAAAGCTTCAGAGATCCTTTAATTTAACAACAAACTACCTTCTAAAATGTGTGCCCCCTGTAGATGTTTTCGGATAGATTGGGGAGTGTGCCTCTGCCTTGGGGCGCTGAAAGAAGTTGTCTACGATTTTATAATTCTAAAAGATGTTTTAGTATCACGTTTCTCACATATTTTTGTTGTTGTTTATTTAGATTTCTATAGATGTATATAATTGTTGAATTTCTACTTTTTATATAAAAATAGTTAAACTTATAATAATGCTGACTTTTGGAGCATGTTTGCTATCTGGCTGTTCTAAAAATGTTAATTCATTTTGAATTCCTGACAATTCTCACTTGAACGAATAACGCCGACATTATTTTATAAACCAGACGTACATGTGGTCCCAAAAATCAGCAATGTTACTTTACACGGGTTCAGTTAATATATGAATCTTGCTTAAATTACTCAGATTTGGGATAACACTGTTGTTTCACAGATATAAAGAAAAATCCTGCCTTGTGACAAATCACATGGTCTCAAAAAACATGGCCGCAGGGCACCGTGCGAGCTTAAAGACTGTTCGTATTCAATATATTCATCTAATAAATGCACAATGAGGCCTTTTACTCAGAGTGTCTGCACCGAGCACGTGATTTCACTTTTACACACTATTTTGCAGAACGTAACAAACAAATTGCAATGTTTTGAGGAAGTAAATCTTCCCAGTCACAGGGTTTGTCAGCACTCTTGTTTAATTTCTATTACAAAAAGCCGGAATGTACAGGAAAGACACAAACATAATTCTTGGTAATAGTAGATTGTAGTTTGCAGTCTGTCACTTTGAGATCTTAGATCTGAGATCGCATCACATTGAGAAGTGTTGCCATTGTAATTAACCGTAACATCCATTAGGAAACTCCACTGTGTTGCAAGAATCATTTATTGTAAGTGTGACCTACAGTTGGGGTCAAGTGTGAACATGTCCTTAGAACATGCATTGCTGAGTCTTCCATGTTTAAAATGGCAGCTTAGGGCGCTGAGTTCACCATGCCTTGCTGAGGCCTCCATGTTTATAATGGCAGCTCAGGGCGCGGAGTTCACCATGCCTTGCTGAGGCCTCCATGTTTATAATGGCAGCTCAGGGCGCGGAGTTCACCATGCCTTGCTGATGCCTCCATGTTTATAATGGCAGCTCAGGGCGCGTAGTTCACCATGACTTGCTGAGGCCTCCATGTTTATAATGGCAGCTCAGGGCGCTGAGTTCAACATGCCTTGCTGAGTCTTCCATATTTAAAATGGCAGCTCAGGGCGCTGAGTTCACCATGACTTGCTGAGGCCTCCATGTTTATAATGGCAGCTCAGGGCGCGGAGTTCACCATGCCTTGCTGGGTCTTCCATGTTTAAAATGGCAGCTCAGGGCGCTGAGTTCAACATGCCTTGCTGAGTCTTCATGTTTAAAATGGCAGCTCAGGGCGCTGAGTTCAACATGCCTTGCTGGGTCTTCCATATTTAAAATGGCAGCTCAGGGCACGGAGTTCACCATGCCTTGCTGAGTCTTCATGTTTAAAATGGCAGCTCAGGGCGCGGAGTTCACCATGCCTTGCTGGGTCTTCCATATTTAAAATGGCAGCACAGGGCGCTGAGTTCAACATGCCTTGCTGGGTCTTCCATATTTAAAATGGCAGCTCAGGGTGCTGAGTTCACGGTTAACCCTGCAGAGGGTTCTGCTGCAGAGTACAGCTGTCTGTTCCCATTGTGCAGTTACAATGTTTATTATTTTTTTCTTTATTAATAATTATCAGAGGGGTTCGGTTGAAGATAACGTGGTACTGCTGCACGCATGACATCAGTGTGTTACAGCATGCGAGTCGGGAAGTAGCATTTTCTGCTCTTATAACCAGAGAGCTAAGGGGCATGGCTTCAAGCTGTGCTTCCAAGCCTTCTTTTTAGTTTAATATTGGGTTTGGGTGGGTAGGACACAGTGGCTATAACTGAAAGCACGATAACAACTTCAATAAGGTGAATTTGTGTAAGTTCCGTTAACACCTGGACACTTTGCTGTGATGTGCTTATTGTCCACATGGGGGCAGACTACACATTTCAAATATCACACCTGATACTTAGCCAGTGTTGCCAAATCCACCTTATGTTGTTGGAATGGTATTAATTCGTGCTGATGGGAAGGACTTGAAATGTGTTGCCTTGCTGTATGTAGAATTCACATGCTGGAGTCTTCCTTGTTGACTATTGAATTGATTTAAACCAGGGGTGCCCAAAAGGTAGAACCCAAAATGTTGTAGAACTACAGCTCCCATGGTGCTTTGTCACACTAAAGCATTTTAAAGGCATGCAGCTTTGCTATTAGAAATGATGAGAAGGTGATTGGCTTTCAGGTCTTATCTACTTCCCAGTGTGAGCAGACTCGCTGCAGAAACTCGGAGGGCCTTCAAAACCGAATATCTTTTATCTTCTATGTCATTTGTTTTCATTTTTGAATATTTTAGATATGTCTGCTATCCCTTTAAGAGCTGAGTGAGTACTAGTTTTTGTTACATTGATTCCCCATGTTCTAGCAGTGTTTGTTCTGGAGAATAAAGGGTGATCCGTATAATAACCGCAGCCGGCTTTGGGCTATTGGTTGCCCGAAGCTTCTAGCTGAGATCCTGCTGCTAAGATCACCTGCTCACTGTTGGGTTCATTTAGAATTGTAATTCAATATGTGATTTAATTCAGGGCCTTCCTGAATGTCAGGCTGGCTGAGTACACCTATAACAATGGGCGTCTGTCACTGAGCCAAGTTCTCCCACAGCCTTGGCTATAATTCACATTGATTCGCAGGTATTCGGGTCATAAGTTTCCTGCGTCCTTCTGCTATCATTTTAGAATCTGATTTTACTTCTCATATATTTTTAGTTTGTTTTGTGTATTTTTTCTTAATTTTGTTGCCATTGTATAACCTTTTATAGTGCCATGACAATGCGTTGAAGAGGCACCCTGCATTGGTTGTAAAATCCAGTAAGACTGGTTTAACTGCGGAAGCCAGATCTCACTATCTGAGCACTGGATCAGCCACATGTTCTGTGAAGTGATAATGGGATTGTTTAAACTTTGCTTTTAGCTTTGTTACATCCTGCTTCTTGTAAATCTAATATTGTTCAGTAGTGAAACGATATTACTGATATTTGCTGCTGTTTCACTTGCCTTAGTGAAGTCCATTTATATCATAATAGTAGCTAAAAATATTGGCTTAAAATATTAGATTGTCACCACAGTGGAATTTAAAGGGATACTTGAGGTACCATAGCCACTACAGTAGCCAATGAGCTAAGCCAGGGTTCCTAAATGGTAGATCCCCAGATATTTTAAAACTACAGCTTCCATAATGCTTTGTGCTTCTAAAGGCATACAAAGCATCATGGGGGTTGCAGTTCTATAACATCTGGAGATCTACCTTTTGAGCACCCCTGAGCTAAGCACTAAAATGCCAGAATTGGTAAATAGGAGGCAGCTTGTGGTGCAAGGTAAGAAGCCAACCCCCTGCTAGTCTCGCTTTGATAATAAAGATTTGGATATATTCATAGGGATCTTTTTGTCACGTGTGATGCTTGGAATTTGGACCTGTAGCCACCTCTCGTTATCCTTTGTTTTGTGTTACCTGTTCCAGCTGTTTAAGTTGCTCTCGTTATTTCTGGTCCTTTCCAGAAGGGAAATTCCTGATTTGTGTCACATCCTATAAAAAAAGTTGCCAAAAACCTGCAGTGGTTATGGTGTCCATTGAAGCCAAACGATTTTCCCCCACTAAAATAGGAAAAGTAGCGAAGGTGGGAAATTTACCCGAGATGAAGACCTTTTCAGATTTAGCTATCGCTGTGCTGTCTCAAGGACATTTCCTTGAGGTTCCCGAATGGGAGACAATCGGGAACAAAATTGTGGTATGATGACGGAGTTGGAAAGAAGCCGAATTTGTATTTTTTTTTTTTTTTTTTGCTTCAGTTCAGATATCTACTACAGATCTGTATCTAAATAACCTTGGCAGCCTGCCCCCTGCTATGATACAAACACATTCCTGACTCTGTAGTGTTAAAATCACCATTTAGCTCACCCCCCACCCCATACCACACTAAATATTGTAAAATCTTACTTGTATTCCAGTCTGCTTCTGGCTCTGCCCCTGTTCTGCCTGCTTGGCTGACATCATCAGAAGTCGTAGTCTGAGCCAATCACAGATCTTCCCCATAGGATTGGCTGGGGATCAGGGGCAGAACCAGCACAAGTCAAACACAGCCCTGGCCAATCAGCCTCTCCTTATAGAGCTATATTGAATCCGTGCATCTCTATGAGGAAAGTTCAGTGACTCCATGCAGGGTGTGCAGCACTACCCCGGGAAGTACCTCTAGCAGCCATCTGAGGAGTGGCCAGTGGAGGTGTCCCTAGGCTGTAATGTAAACACTCATACACACTGCACATTACTGTGTGTTATTCCTGGGGAGCTCTGTGATACACTCGTACACACTGCACATTACTGTGATGTTTATTGGATTGGAGCTCTGTGATACACTCATACACATTGTACATTATTGTGAGTTTTATTAGATTGGAGCTCTGTGATTGTCTTACACTCTGCATGTTACTGTGAGTTTTGTTTCTCTGTACCTTTGCAATATATACTCTACACATACTGATCGCCTGCAGACTTTGCTTAGTGGAGTCCTATCAAACTAGTTTAATTTAATTTTTTAACGCTGGAGTCACAATTAATATTTGTTTTATGTGTTTATACAAACCCGTATCCTGGTTCTTTTCACTTGCACTTAATCTCCTCTGCTGGAAAGTGCTCTCTGTACAGGTGTTTGGGAAGAAGTGTATCTTATTTATTCATTAATCAGCATATTACGTGTTTTTTACGCGGTTAGATGCAGGTAGTCCGTGGCAGCTCTCCTGCTCTGTGAGATCTATTGAACACGTCACACAGCATGCTTCCGACAACTGCAAATTCACTGATAATTAATTGGTTTCAGAGGGTGTTTTATTTTCTCTGCCACAGAGGCGTTCAGTCACACTTTGCCTGTGAATGGAATTGAATCAGACTGGACGGCGCATGTCCTGACTACCTCAATTCAATACGTAATGCTCAGATCTCAACTTGAAAATTGCGACATCCTCATCGCGTTTTATTAATGCAGAACAGACACGCAGATAGTACCAGGACTGCTTTATATAGTAAAATAGTGACGTTTACGGTCGTCATAACAACCTATCGCAGACCCTATTTTGATGCAGAATTATCTATTAATAATGTACTTTCTTATAAATGTTTACCGTTTCACCGACAAATGTTTGTGCATCTACTTTTATTTGGCATTGAAAACCAAAGAGAAGAGTTACTTGTGCACATTTAAATAAACGGAGGTTATTTAGTAACTCCAATGGCCATTTTAGTGTAAGCTCACCGGCCACGTCAAGGCAAACCTCAAAGGGGAGTCCTACGTTTAACAATTCACCTTGCTTGCTTCAGCTTCTGAGAAACATCTGAGACAGAGAGGGGTATTTTCCTAAACCCCTACATGCTTATTAACCCTTGATAAGGAGCACATGGGGTGGGCGGCAGCATTGTAACATAGCGATATAAATACTCAAAAATAAGTCCTGCGCTCAGACTCCCGTTACGCCTGGGCGGCAGCAATGACTATAGTACACATCTGCCCCAATACAATTGTAAAGCATTGCAAAACAAAATTTGGTCCATGAATCCCTCCATACTAATCTTTTATATCCCTGAAATGATTTTAGGCTGGGTGAGATCAAAAACAGGTATTTACTTTCATGGAACCCCATTAAATTGACTGAAAAACACAGTACCACCCCTCCCTTCCCCCCAAACCCCTGCACTGTAAGGGAAGTTTAAAAAAATATGTCATTGCATTCTAACAGTCAAAGTTGGGAAGCACAGAAGGAGGTTTCTGATAAAACTCAGAACGATACAGAGATTAAAAGAACACTATAGGGTCAGGAACACAAACCTGTATTCCTGATCATATAGTGTTAAAACCACCATCTAGCCTTCCTTGCCCCCCTAAATATAGTAAAATCTTACCTTTATTCCAGTCTGCTGGCTCTGCCTGTGATCTGCGTGCTTGGCTGACATCATCAGAAGTGTTTCTCTCAGCAAATCACAATGCTTTCCCACAGGATTGGCTGAGACTGAAGGAGACAGATCAGGGGCAGACCCAAACACAGCATCTCCTCATAGAGATTAATTAAATTAATGCCTCTGTACAAGGAACGTTCAGTGTCTTCATGCAGAGGGTGGAGATGCTGTCAGTCACACTGTGCAGCACTGCCCCAGGAAGCACCTCTAGTAGCCATCTGAGGAGTGGCCAGTGGAGGTATCCCTGGGCTGTAATGTAAACACTGCATTTTCTCTGGAAACACATTTACAGCCAGAAAGCCTGAAGGGAATGATTATACTCACCAGAACAAATGCAATCAGCGGTAGTTGTTCTGGTGACTATGGTGTCCCTTGAACTGCATGTTGCTGTAGCATTTTGCAAATTCCTGTATTTTACAAAGATCCTGAAGCTACCTTAATTTTTTTTTCCGAGAAGGTTTTCACATTTAACGTCATCACAATTTGCAGGAGACTTCACAGAATCTACCATCCTCCAAAGCTCTGGATTACTTTAATCTCAAACTAGAATCTCTTGGACGTGAACTGTCTCAGTTGTTCCTGAGTTAACTCTAGGCAGCGACTATTTTTAGAGTTGATTAAATGAAAAAATAGCAGATACCGCCAATAGTAAAAGTTCCGTTAAAACTTAAAGAGTTATTCCAACCACCATGATTTTAGTGGTTACGGTGGTAGGAGTGTGTATATTCAGTGTTTCAGCTTGATACACTGCACATACTGAGTTATTGGCACTTTTTTTTTCTGGTGGCTAGCTGCACCCCCAACATGTGTTTTTTTTTTTTTTCCCCTTCTCCTTTTTCGCTGTTTTTGGAACCATCACGTGATATTATTTACCCCATATTTCAATAGAAGTGTCCAATATGGACTGTGCATACGGGCTATTATTTGAAATACTCGTCTTTTCTATTTTTGAATTTCCATTTTTGCTGGCCCTCCTGGCACAATCAGAACATGGCTTGTCATTTATTCCCCACAGTGCCGTGCACACATACAGTATATCAGAGGACGATACCCAACCCACCATGGTGCGAGTGTGATGGGGTTGCTAGACTGGCCTTAAAAGTTACTAGCCACTCCAAGCCTTGAGGATCCATGGCACACTCACCAGGGGTGCTAGTAGTGAGAGGGAATTGTGTGCTCTGATACATAATGTAAAAAATACAGAGAACATTCTATACAATACGTAATCTATAAAAGTAAAACTCTGTATTATTAATCCTTGCTTTGCCGCTAACAATCGGCAGATTAATGTCAACCTTTGCAGCACTGCCAGGAGGATTTTAATGTGTTTGTCAGCCGCTGCTGAATAGGTTAAACTGTCTCTGTCTTAATGGAAAAACCTGTTTAGGAGCTGGCGAGCCTCCTTGTATTACCAAGCTCCTATGTGGCTGTTTTGCAGGGGTGGGAGGGGTTATTGTAAATTCCTAATGAGTGCCTCTGTTATTTGTCACTGTGCGTACCTACCTGCCTGCAGGGACAGTCACCTGTTACAGGGAACACTGACTGGTGGACGGGAAAAGAGAAACTGCTGGCTTCGTGCAGAAAAAGGGCTTTAAATGAGGAACAGCTGACCTCCAGAAAGGTGAGGGCCAAAGGGTACAGGTAATAGGAGCTGGTGTAACCTAATCCTGCAGGTTTTACCAGGTTATATAGGTGTCTGTACAATGAGCTGATAGACTTCAGCCGTGGATAATACGGATCACAGCACTGACTGCTGTTATATAACAGGTTAATATCCCCCAAACTGGTAAATTAGAACCTTGCTGGATGTATCAGGGCTGCAGGAATGTTGGGGGCAGTCTAATGATCCCTTTAATTCTATGTGCGTTTTTGTGGTTTTCCCCTCTGTGGAGTCTTTATAGAGTATTTAATGGTGTTGGTGCTGCATACATTTGCATCAGTGCCTTTTCTAAGATGGGGTTCCTATAGCAGGCTGGCAGGAACAGGTGGAGGGACCCTGTAGCATTCTGCCGAAACCTTTCAAGAACCCCTAGACGAGCTGTTAAATCCCTTTCACATCTACCGTATGTGTCCTCTGGGTCCCCCAGACAATTTTGAATTCACCTGTGTGAGGTAATTATATTCGTGGATAAAATGCCTGAGGAATTGGCGTAGATTGTGAGCTCCATAGGGTTAATATTCCCTGCTGTCTAACATCCTAGGTGTGGGATCTACCACTTCGAAGTGACGCCTCTCTGGGTGGCTGACATTTTCTTTGCACTGTGGGTTTGTCTGTTTGAGAATTGGGACGACGATCTGCTTGTACTCTTTGTATTGATGATTAATGGGACTGAGAAGTTTTCGCGTCTTACTGTGCATGTAAAGCTGTGCTAACCATTTGTGCACTTGAAATTTGTTCTTCAAAATCCTAAAAAAAAGTACCCGTTGGTTAGAAGTAATGATAAATTGAAATGTGTGATTTAGTGAAACGTTTATATTCTGTGGATGTAATGGAGTTTGTGTTGTAATAATTTCTCATTCCTTTCCTGTTTGCCTCTGCCGTGTAACCCTGTGTTACGATCCGGCGAGGCATAGCAGGAGATCTTGTGGGAACCTGGGATACAAGACGTGTTTCTTAATGGTATAGAGATTAGGTGTTAACTGGTGAATTTTGAAAAAAAGAAAAACAATATCCCAGACGTCCCCTTCAATGGAGATGGGTATATGGGAATTAGTACAACCTAAAATAGATTAGTAGCGACAAAAAATAAAAACACCTTTTTGAATGAGATACAGACGATCGCTCTGTGTTCCCCAATCACCCAGGTTCTGCTTGGTAGTAGGGTATCCCTCTTAGGTTGAATGCTTCATGTACCCCTTATCGGTCTCGTAGGGCTGATACCCCATTACCCGGTATGCCGACATTTGTTTCCTATTTAGGACCCTCTACTAGATATAGTAGCTCTACGCTTTTAGATTCAATTTATTTATTTATTTATAAAATATTTTACCAGGAAAGATACATTGAGATTTCTCTCGTTTTTAAGTATGTCCTGGTTTTTTTATTTTTTGCTACTAATCTATTTCATGTTGTACTAATTCCCATACACCCACCTCCATTGGAGGGGAAGTCAGGGATATTTTTTTTAAAACATTTCTAGTAATTAGGGTTACTCCCTGTTATGCTAGTACTACCAGGTGACCCCTTCTTAACTAGTGGATAGGGTTATAGGTCTCCCCTAGCCTATGTACTTTGTATGGTGGAAGATTTTTTGACCTATCCCAGGGTTAATATCTTAAAAGCTGTTACTAACTGGTGAATTTACCCTATAGGCCAGCCTTGTTACTCAGTGGGTACAGTCAGTTTTTGTTTGACGGACACAGATGCCCGGGAATGTTTGTTACATCTTTGACCCCCTTACGAGGCACGCTATGCACACAGTGAAAATAACCATTTCCCCCAAAAAAATACTCAAAAATATGAAATTTTGAGTCATTTGAATCTCTGGTTTTCTTGACAAAATGCTAATTTCATCATTAACTTTGGGCCATCAAAGCTGAGTGCATTGACTTCTCGGACACCTGTACTGCCGAATGATGGTGGGCCACGGGATTCCCAATGCCGTGATTGGCCCACCATTTCCACTGCGAGATTCCCAAACTGGAAAAACGCCCGTTTTGTTTGACCATTGATGGCCAAGTCCAAAAATTACCTTCATATAATCACAAGATAAAAAATTATACATTTATTTTTGTTTCCCATTGGCTGCTATATATATCTGTTTCTGCTTTAGATTGCAATGTGACTAGCTGCAGATTTTCTGTTCTTTGCACTTTTTTGTTTTGAAATGTGTTATTTCAATAAATCTTGTTGTAAGACATCTCAAAGGAAGTCCAACTAGGCAGAAAGAGCTACATAGATCATTACTCGTATGGCTTGTTTTTCGTCTGTCCTATTTTACTAGCCAGATTTACAAGTTACTAGCCATGGCAGGACTACATTTTTACTCTGCAATGACTAGTAGACGGGTGGAAATTTTGAGCCATATGTACAGACAAATTACCTCCAAATGTCCAGATGGTGAAGGCTGTGTGTTGTGGGAATGTTAACTACATTTTATTTTTATTTTATGCAATGACTAAAGTGCTAGCTATTGAAGTGTTGACTGGTGTGAGGTGTGCAGCAGAAGATAATTGTGCCATCATCTTAGCAGGATGCCCCACAATGCAGTGCATGTTTACAATATCATAAGGATACCAGAGATTTGCATAGTGTGCCAGGCTATGCCACTGTAGCGTTGTATCAATCAACATTTTATAACCATGGTATTTGGAAAAACAAATGCTACAAATCACTGCTACATTATTTCAGATAATCAGATATTTTTTCATGTTTAGGTAGCATACCGATCATATTGTGTTTATTATAAGGCTGGGGCAGGATACCATTAAATAATGTTGTACGATGGAGACTTTTAATTTAGAATCTGCTTTTTAGTACGGCATTTCTAAACTCTGGATGGCTACCATTAGAACTGCGAACCATGTGATACCTTGTAATTTAGAACGTGAAATATAGAACCCCAGCTGTCCGCTACACCGGGTGCTTTGCATTCTGAAATTGTTAGTGTGACGTAATCATGGAGGGGTAGTGCTGTAATCCAGCCCTTTTGTAAATCATAGAGTTTGAATGGAAAGACCTGTTTTCCCAGGTGCGCAGTGAAAGTCCATGTTCCCATATCGTTATAATTGTACGACAGCGGCCAAATAAACATCCTCTCCTGTTTGATGAATAAAGGGTGTTTGTTTGTGCAACTCATTAACTCCTGGGTTGTTAAACATACACAGCATGTATTACAGAACCCACAGACGCAGAACATGTGTTAATAATTCCTTAGACCCTTGGTAAATAGGACCTCACTGTTTGTGTTTAACCCATATGATGTATAATGTGCTAGGAAAACCCAAACCGAGATATTACAGATTGTCAAGATCTAATGGGATTTTATCGACTCCTTGTTAAATCGGGATTTTTTTTTTTTATATATTTGTCCAGGTATGTCGTTTAACAAAAATTAGTGATACGGAAGAAAAGTAAAATAATTTAAATTGGAAAATTTTATAAATGGTTTTTTTTTGGATTCTTCCATTGGGATTTATTCCCTTATCCATGAATTTTATAGAATTGACAAATGAATTTAAAATGTTCAACTGCAATATCGCCTGGTTAAAATCACTGCCTTAAAACTGCGAAACCCAGATTCGGATCCCAGTTGGACCACCTCACTAATAAGTGTCTTTGGGAATGAAACCCAGCGACCACATTAAAAATACCTGCCTAATATCGTGTAGGTCCCCTCGTGCTACCAAAACGTCTTTAAAGCATTGAGGTGTCCTGTGATATCTGGCACGTAGACATTAGCAGCAGACAACCTCCAAGTCCTGCAAGCTACGAGGTGGGGCCTCCATGGATCTGATTTGTTGTTCCAGCACATCCTATAAATGCTCAATCAGATTGAGATCTGGGTAATTTGGATTTCAAGGTATGGCACTGTGCATTATCCTGCTGAAAGAGGCCTCTAGCATCAGGGTTCATTATTGCCAAGATGAGGTACATGTGGCCTCCAACATCTGTAGGCAGGTTGTACGGGTCAAAGTAACATTCACATGAATGCCAGGACTCAAGGTTTCCAAGCAGAACATTGCCCAGAGAATAACACTGCGTTCTTCCCATAGTGCATCTTGCTGCCATCTCTTTACCAGGTAAACGACCGCACACGCAGCCAGCCATCCTCCTGATCTAAAAGAAAACGTGATTCATCAGACCAGTCAACTTTGTTCTATGGCTCAGTCTTGACACTCTTTGCCAGGGGTCATCGCGGGCCCATACTCTGCAAATTGTGATGCACTGTCTGTTCTGACACCTTTCTATCATTGCCAGCAGTAAGTTTTTCAGCAATTTGAGCTACAGTATCTCTTCTTTGTGATCGTACCAGACAGCTAGCCTTCACTCCCCACATGCATCAATGAGCCTTGGGCGCCCATTACCTTGATGCTGGTTCACTGGTTGTCCTTCTTTTCACCACTTTTGGTAGGTATTAACCACTGCATACTGGAAACATCCCACAAGATTTGTCGTTTTGCAGATGCTCTGACCCAATTGTCTAACGATCACTATTTGACCAAAGTCACTCAGATCTTTTCTCTTACCCATTTTCCTGCTTTTAACACTTGAAATTCAAGAACTGACAGTTCACTTGTTGCCTAATTAACAGACGCCATTGTAACGATATTGTAACGGATCACCTGGCACCCCAACTGGGTACCTCCATTGAAGGATGCTCCTAGCGCTTCCTGAGGACTCCAAGCACTGCAGCAGACACCACAACCACCGAACTGGAGAAGCATACAAATGCTCTCAAGCATTTGAATGCTGTAAGCAGCTGAACAGGAAAAGCATACAATCATCTTACACTCCTGGTAATCAGCATACAATCCAATTCCCCCAATAACGAGACGACACTTCGTTTTGAGGGTCAAGCAGAATCAGACAGAGCTGTTCTAATATACACATTAGTACCACCCACAGGGTTTTGGAAAACAACCAATAAACACATACAATACACTCAGACACTCCCACACAAAATCCTCCCCTCTGCATGTGATTCAATTACCTTACACAATGGGTAATGTAATTATCACAGCCAGAGAAATACAGTTTTTCCACATTATTCATAACTTGAAAAGTATGCAGCACATTCACATTTTCACAATCAGCATACTCCAAATACAAACATATGTCAAAATCATCCAAATTGGTCCATTGGTTCAAAAGATAGATCGAAGTCCTTTGTGACCAAATGAAGCATGGCTTTTCTGCCCAAAACCAGTTCCACAGAGTCTTCTATCCTGGAGATAATTGGGAAGTAATCCAATTATCTCCAAGGACAGAGTCAAAACTCCATTAAGGACATGGCAGTAAAAAGACAGTAAAATACAATAAAATACACAAGGTTACATTTATTACAAAAAATACAGACATGCAACATATCCCCAGATAGCCTAGGTCTGAGCGCAGATTATTACTGAATGGCGCTCAGACCACACACCTACAGTTCAATCGCCATGGAGCCAAAGTCTTTTATTACACAAATAGGCTCCATGGCATAGCTATCTGGGTTAAATGAGTTAATTCAGTAAATCCGAGAATTTACCGAACGCCAGGGCAGAAATACAGGAATAGACCTTTCTGCATAGGAAAATAAAGAATTTAAATGCCGGTCCCCAGTCAAAAGGGAGCAGGCGAGCAACCAGGCTTCTCCAGTGCACAGTGGCGAGGTTGGTTCCACCACAGATATAATCAATGTTATTCACTTCATATGTCAGTGGTTTTAATGTTGTGGATATATCCTCCTAAATTGTAAGCTCTTTTGAGCAGGGTATTCTTCTTTTCCCTTTCTAGAATTGTAAAGCGCGTTGGAATATGTTAGTATTATATAAATGCGGATTGAAGGGGAAAAATCAGCCTCCTTTTATTTTATTAAAATTTGTATTTATTTTTTGCACTAAAATTTGCAATTCCCTTTTAGCAATCTCCAGTTTATCAGATAAGCCATTATTTCTAAAGTACCTTGTGAACATCCATCTGATTAATAAACTCTGAATCTGCGACATGGGCACTGGTGGGGGGCCTCGGTGAACAAGCATTATAAATGCTGCACATCGAAATAATGTTCTCTTCACTGATTTGCAAGAAAAAGACGGGGGTTATCTTGTCAATCTCTAGCATTTAGTGTACTCTTCGTGATACTTAAAATAAATACTATGCTATTCCAGAAAATGCTCAGGGTCAGTTTGTTTGCTCCTCTGTTCTGGGTCAAGGTGACCCCAGCGAGAGATTTGGAGCCAATCATTCCATCAAACTGGGGAATGATTGGGAACAGTTGCCATTCACGGGAAATCATTTTTTAATTCTTTATTTCAGAGATCAGGGAGATAAACATTACAGACAAATACAATAGTCAACTTTACAACTTTCAGCTCCAAGACGATGACCTGTTATGAGGTTTAGTACATAACATATAGTGCCGATACATAACTGGAATATCATTAAGAGTCGATTGCATATTTGTGTCTCTGTCCCCCGTCTCTAAGTTTCTGAACTCTTTTTAGAAAAAGGAGGCAAATTCTCCTTCTCAAGGTCCGCAGCACCGTCTATCTCAGGGTCGTTATATCTCCATCTCACCCATGATACTCTTCCCACATTTGCTACTCCTTGTTAAATGTTGTCATCGCGTTCCGTCCCCAAACTGAGAGTTTGAAAATGAATCGTTCCTATTGGCCTTTCTGGCATCATTGTGGTTGTTTCGTTAAAGATTTTCTAACAGTATTTTGGGGTCTGTAGCTGATGCTTTTATTATTTTCCAGCTCCCTTTTTTTAAACCTATAATTTGCCATTTGTTTGTCAGTTCTCTACGATGAGCAGTTTAATGAATCCCATTAACCCAATTTCTTTTGTGACCTAAAGTCCTTTGCTTCATTTCCAGCCCTGCGACACGTATTGTTTAGAAGACTTCCCTAAATGATTTACTGACACAGATTCCTTCCCTATCCTCCATGACACAAACCATACTGTGCAGCCAGAGCTATATGGTGTTACTGTGTATCGAAGGCTTATCTTCTGACGATAACACCCTTCTATTAAAGAGGAAATGTCACAGCTCAGAGAGAGTTCCTCATTCCAGGCCTGGGTGCACACTATGACTATTGGAGTGCTTATAGGTTAAGGACTGCGGTGGAGGTAGATCTAAATAATTCATACCTCTGCCTTTGGGGTGCGGGCGAGGACACCATTACATGCTGCTCTGTGTATGTGCATGGAAAGGGCTGTATGAGTGCATGCGTTCCCCCCACATTCCTTCAATAGTGCCATAATCGTGCATGCGCCCCCTGCATTCCTTCCATGGTGCCATACTCCCGCATGCGCCCCTGCATTCCTTCCATGGTGCCATACTCCTGCATGCACCCCCTGCATTCCTTCCATGGTGCCATACTCATGCATGCACCCCCTGCATTCCTTCAACAGTGCCATAATCCTGCATGCACCCCCTGCATTTCTTCCATGGTGCCATACTCCCGCATGCACCCCTGCATTCCTTCCATAGTTCCATACTCCCGCATGCGCCCCTGCATTCCTTCCATGGTGCCATACTCCAGCATGCACCCCCTGCATTCCTTCCATGGTGCCATACTCTCGCATGCGCCCCCTGCATTCCTTCCATGGTGCCATACTACCGCATGCGCCCCCTGCATTCCTTACATGGTGCCATACTCCCGCATGCGCCCCTGCATTCCTTCCATGGTGCCATACTCCCGCATGCACCCCCTCATTCCTTTCATAGTGCCATACTCCCGCATGCGCCCCCTGCATTCCTTCCATGGTGCCATACTCCAGCGTGCGTTTTTGGATGGGGTATTGGTTACTGTGAGTTCCCTTTAAGCAGTGTTTTCGGATGGGATATTGGTTACTGTGAGTTCCCTTTAAGCAGTGTTTTTGAATGGGATATTGCTATCAGTTTGTGTCAGTGTGTTCCTCTGGACTTTATCCCGGATTACGGAAGTTGTCCTATGATGGCACAGTTTATAACAGCTTGCAGGAAATCAGTAACTTCTTGTTAATAACCAGGAACGCGTGTTCAGTGTGAGCAGGGATACATTTACTGAGCAATAAATTGTCAGAAAATGAAAAAACTGCTCAGGCCTCAAAGTGGATTTCACATGTAAGACCAGAATAGCTGAACAGGAAAAGTTCCAGATCAGCTACTTCAGCCTTAATGTTAAATTGACTTTGAATTATTGTATGTATTTATTTTTTGTGTAAAATGTTTAACTTAGTGAGTCTTCCCCTAACATTTTAACTCTTTCGGAAATCTCTTTTGCAGTTCTCCTGCCATAATTTCTACAATGCATGGCCTATAATTACTTGAAGATGAATAATTTATTATCAGAGCATGTAGAGAGGATCACTGGCCTTTAAGAATAACATAATTACATAATTAAACCTGCATGGAACTGATTAAAATAGAGATAAGGACAAGCTGCCAAGTGCACTGTGACCTGGGACTCTTATGGCACCAGTTAAAAAAAATATTTAAAGGGACTCTCCCCTGTCCAGATTATAAATAAAATTACTATTTAGTAGATCTATTCACAATGAAAACATCCATGCATTTAATTAGGCATTTTTTTCATTGGGGGTATATATAAAGCCAGTTTGTAAAAGCTGCAGATCTCTTGTCTGCAGCCTTTGCAACCCCTCCCCTTCTAACCCCGCCCAGACTTTCTGTGGCTGTCCAATCACAGACTTTTCAATGCAGATCAATGAGAAGTCTTTGCAAGGTGGGGGTTTTGGGTAATTGATGTTGTTTGAGTTTAGCTTCACTGAGCTATTCCAAACCAGGAAGTAACATGAGTCTGTTTGATATTTCAGTGTTTGGAGGCCATTTTATCCTGCACTGTAAATTGTGCAACCGGTCATTATAAAATTGGGATGGTTTACTTGCTCATTGTATTTTCCCCATAAACGTACAAAATCTCTCTCCCCCTCCCTTCCTCTATACCACATTTTATTTTTTGAGGTTTTACTGAAAAGCAATAAAGTGTACATAATAATAAAAAAAATACCCATACAGTGCACATTGCAGGCGATCAGGAAGAGGGCCGAGGAATTGCATGCTGGGAAATTATTATTTTTTTTACATGTTGGTAATGTCACTGCAACGTGTAGTTTAAATATCTGGAAGGGACAATTCAGGCTGTCACATTCCTTTCTTTTTTTTTTTTCTTTTTTTTTTACGTATACATAATTTATAAAAAAATAATGATATATTCAAAAGCAAATTGCTGAAAAAAAATCAAAGGATTTGCTGCAAAAAAACCCCCAAACCTTTGAAGCTTCTGCTGTGAGCTCTGCCTGGTCTAGGTTGTGACTCTGTCAGCCTTGCTTAAATGAACACTTCACGCACCATTACCACTGTAGCATGTCTCCCAACAGTCCTGTTTTTCCGAGGGCAGTTCTGCTTTCCTGGTCCTGAGTTCTTCCACCGTGTTCCACTTTTGGGCGATACGAGCATGTCATCATTAGTCGTGCTCACGCGATGTTCAAGGAGTTAGGACCCTGGAGATAGGCAGTCAAGATTGGCAGTCAGGCTGACCTGCCCCTCTCCCACTAGCATCACAATATCTGCAATGCTGAAGCTAGGAGGCTTGTTATAGCCTGCTGTAGTAGTTTTGGTGCGAGGAATGCCCTGGTACCCATGCGGGATACTATTCTAACAGTTTGCAAATGGTTTGCCAACCTCCCTGGGGCCCACTGAGTGCCCTATTATCTCTCTGTAGTGGAAACTGACAATTGAACTAAAACTCCCATAAGCCTAAGGCATGGAGTTCCAGACAGCAGTATTTTTGAAGCAAAAAAAACCCCCCACTTACTCTTGAGGTTAATGAGACAAAACTATAAATAAAAAAACCCCCACAAAAGCAGAGAAACTAACATGTTTATTCATTCCCCCTCGCTCTCTGAATGCTCCCATTTCCTCGCAGACTCTTTGTTAGTGGAAGGTGCAGGTCACTCATTTTTAACCATATGTAGCAAGCCACTACACTTACCCAAAGCAGAGCTGAGACGGTCCAGTCATGTCTGGAATTTGACAGGACAGTCCTGGTTATATTATCATCTCCGGACTCTGTTCTGCATTTTAAAAATGTTATCTGCCTGACCACCTATTCCAGGGCCGTGCTCCAGTGGTGGCGGTGGAAGCTGGTGACCTAGCCGCATTATAAGCAGTGGGTAGATCTAAATGACTAGCGGCAGGCCTATAAATTATATGACTGTCATATGGCGGTGTGTTAGGGGTGTTGAATAGTGGAAGGGGCTAAGGAAACTGTTAAGCGTGGTCTTCACGCCTGTAAATTGATTGATAGCTCAGCTGCCAAGTATTCTTGGACATTTCTCAAATGTAGGCACCTATGGATTTGTGTCTAGGGCCCGGGTCTGAATGTTCACAGTGAAATCGAATTACTAAAAAAATGTGTACATCATGGCCACCCAGACCACTGGATCACACTGAAGTGGTCTGGTTGCAGTCCGTTTCATTCTGCAAAGAGGAACATTGCTGTTTTGTAGACTGTTTACATTGCAGGGTTAAGTGCACCTCTAGCGGCTCGCATACTGACATCCAATAGAGAATCTTTTATTGCACTGACAGTCTAAAACTCGTCACGTGACATGGAATCTTCATGGCAAACAGGAGAGAGAACTTTAATGCCACTAGGGACAGGAGCTCTACAGGTTTGTAGCCCTAACTACCGTGTTCCTATAAGCCTATTAACATGCATTGTGTTTTGTTCCGATTTGGAATATTTATTACTGAAATCTCTGTATGCAGTGCAAGGTGGTTTCTTGTCTTGCATTGCGGCATTGTCATAATGTCTTAAGGACACTTTGTAAAATCGCTCTTATGTCCCACATACTTTATGGCATTAGTGGAACCTCCCACTCACAGTTTATGGCATTAGTGGAACGTCCCACAAACACTTTACGGCATTAGTGGAACGTCCCATGCACACTTTATGGCATTAGTGGAACGTCCAATGCACACTTTATGGCATTAGTGGAACGTCCCACGCACACTTTATGGCTTTAGTGGAACGTCCCACGCACACTTTATGGCATTAGTGTAATGTCCCACACACTTTATGGCATTAGTGGAACGTCCCACACACACTTTATGGCTTTAGTGGAACGTCCCACGCACACTTTATGGCATTAGTGGAACGTCCCACGCACACTTTATGGCATTAGTGGAACGTCCCACGCACACTTTATGGCATTAGTGGAACGTCCCACGCACACTTTATGGCATTAGTGGAACGTCCCACGCACTCTTTATGGCATTAGTGGAACGTCCCACGCACACTTTATGGCTTTAGTGGAACGTCCCACGCACACTTTATGGCTTTAGTGGAACGCCCCACGCACACTTTAGATCTGTCTTGACACCGGGTACGTCGTTGTAGTCACTGTACGGATACAATGTCTGGTTGATCTGCTCCTTGGGTGAATTCATGGATTGTAAGCCCGTTTGAGCAGATCCTTCACCTCTTGTCTTTGGTAATTTTTGTATGTCAGTTTCTTGTTGTCTAATATGTCATTTCTATAATTGTAAATTGCTGCGGAATATGTTGGCGCTATATAAATATTAATGCTATGGACACTCTGTAGCTGGCCTGGCTTACAGCGGTTACTGACTACAAACTGTGCCATGTGGGTACGCTGTCTGTATGAACAGCCTCTGAGTGGACACAGCGGTTAGCTGACTTAGAGCCGCTACTGAGAGGTTTCCTGACATTTATCCATTGTGTTTGTAGTTGCAGATAAAAGAACGCTCCTGGGAGACCAGCCAACCTTTAACTACGGCTCGCTGCCCGCCTTGAAGCCCAAAGTCTGCATGGTGAGTGTTCTATCTGTGTCTGTCTAGGAATCTCTCCGTCCCTGTATTTTATTTATTGATCCAGTCAATCTAACATCCTATACAGCCCCTGTACGGAAGACTGATTCAGTTTGTAGAGAGTTTGACTTCTAGAGAGACGTCACAATGAAACACCTGGGCTCTGGCATTAAGCTCTGTTCCATGATGTAGATTCTTCATACTCTCCACGCTGCGTCTGTTCAATCCTTGCGCCCCTCCAGTCTGTTACCAGTGTGAAAATTAGTGCAGGGCCAGGTGAGGGCGGCATCCAGGCCCCTTGGATAATGACTTACAGCACGGGAGTGTGTTATTCTGTGTCCGTTTCCTGTAATACCAGTAAATCATTTTAAAATAACGTGTTCTTGGCGGGTCTTACTGTGTGTTCTATTTCAATTATTCTTGCTTTGCCAGCACGTGGTAGGAAACGTAACGTAGACCATGGTTAGAGGGGGCAGAGCTGGGTAAATACTGCATGCCCAATTATTTTTAATGTTGCTCTTGATAACAGTTTACTGACCAGAATGTGAGCCATTCTCGAAGTGATAATATTAATTGCACACTTGTTTTGGTGCATAAATCAGGCTCTTGCTGTCTCACTACACTGTTCTCTGCCATTTAGGAGTTAAATCACTTTGTTTATGCTGCCCCAGCCACACCTCCCTGCATGTGACTACTCAGCCTTTCTAAACACTTCCTGTAAATCATCATCCGATGTTTACCCTTCCTGTATTGCAAATTCTGTTTAATTTAGAAATTCTTTTTTTCTGCTCTTCTAGAGCCTGCAGGAACCTCCTGTGTGTGATTAAAGTACAATTAACAGCAGGAGACAAGAACTTATAAAGTAAACACACTGTGCTGTGAAATCTGATTGAAAATTAACCTTTTTTTCCCCTTTCATGTGTGACTAGGGCTGCTTGGACGGAAACAAATTGATTTAACTCCTAAATGGCAGATAATTAAGCAGTGAGACTGAAGGGGCATGATCTATACACCAAAACTGCTTTATTAAGCTAAACTTGTTTTGGTACTTAGAAAGTCCCTTTGACTACTTCCCTGCTGAACTTCCTCATAATTCATTGCACAGTTTTTCATTTTATTTAAAAATTTTGTCCTCTGATGGCAGGTCAGAAATCTAACAAGTGCAGTAAACCACCCTCTTGTGTTTAGATTATAACTTAATATGTTTCTTACTTCATGAAAGGTTGTCATGTCTGTGCCAGAGCTCACATTGGGGTGTTTGTTTTGCACAATTATCCTTTCTTGATGCTGAGGGTCAGCACATGAAAAGAGCTGCCCTGCAGTTTGTAATGTTCAGCGGCTGCAGCAGGGAATCTGTTAATCAGTCCTTTTCTATTTTGAATGCTTAGTGATTGAGTTTTCTTCTTCAGCATATGAATGCTTTGTACTGTAGGGCATCACTTTTCATGCATTGTCTAACCTATTGTGCCAATTATTTAGCTTAAAGGAAACCTGGTTAATTTGGCAGCCCTAAGCAAAGGAGAGTTCTTATATTTTTATTTTTGATTCTTGAAACCCAAATGGAGCTTGCAAATTCTCATTCTAATGCATAATGTTCTGACCCCGCAGGAGATAAGTGGTTACCGGAAAGTAAAATGGCGAATCGTACTGTGTTTCGCGCTGTGTGTGCTGACTCTGGGAATCCTGCTGGTTATCTTCCATTGGAAACCTCGACTGTATGTGCTGCTGATCTGCAAAAACTGCCCGCTGGCTGAGGCAAACTGGGTCATCATTAAGGTGAGATAGCCCTGGCTCACTTAGGCAAGAACCTTACATAGCCACCTATAAGTCCAACTAGCCCCGTTACAACATCAGCTGAGACAGAAATTCCTCCAGTTCATTTATTTTATAAATATTACATTAAAAGTAATGTAGAAAAGATACTCACATTTAATGTTTCTACGCTTGCGGCAAATCCTCAAACTGGGAAATCCTAATTTAAAGGGAAACACTGCAACTTGGAAGGAATAGATAACGTGGACTCATGAATCAAAAGGATTTTTATTTTAATAGAGAATGGGATGATCTACCGCACCAAAACAACCACACAAATAAAACAATATTTAAAGTGCCCTTGTAGTGCAAAATGGAGTATATTCATATATACGTACCCTTATTTACAATTAAAAAAACATATTTTTTTAATATATTGAATAAAGTAATATGTTTTATATAAGTCCTATTTTATTGTTTTTGTTGCTGATCCACATTCCTGGTTCCGGCCATATCCCAGGTGGGGATTATACCACCAAAGCTATATACACTAGAGCAAGTTACTGCTCAAAGAATTGTAAGTAGAATACCTCTTTTCTTCTTTTATTATATGTATACATAGGCGTGCGCCACTTATTGCATAAGGGTGTGCACCCTAAAGCACAAACACACACGCTGCGTACGTACATACAAATATACATACACACACCCATACTCTGCTGTGTGTGTGTGTTTGAGGGTGATGTGTGTGTGTGTGTGTATAAGTGCTGTGTTTGTGAGGGAGCTGTAAGGGTGCTGTGTGTGTGAGGGTTCTGTTAGTGTGGGTATGTGTAAGGGTGCTGTGTGTGAGGGTGGTGGTTGTGATTGTGGTGTGAGGGTGCTCTTAGTGTGTGTGAGGGTGCTGTGTGTGAGTGAGGGTTCTGTTAGTGTGTGTGTGTGTGTGAGGGTGCTGTGTGTAAGGGTGCTGTGTTTGTGAGGGTGCTGTTAGTGTATGTGTAAGGGTGCTGTTAGTATGTGTGTGTGTAAGGGTGATGTATGTGTGTGGGTACTGTTAGTGTGTGTGTGCTGTTTGTGTGTATTGTGTGGGGTGGGGAGGCCGTTTAATTAATATCCCCCCTCAATTCTTACCTTTTGAAGGGAGGGGGGACCGTGCTGCTGCCATCCCTGGTGGTCCAGTGGTGAGTGAACTCTAGCCTGCGGGGCTAGAGTTCACTCTCGCGAGATATGAGGGTTGCAGCGGCAACACTCCGACCTTGCAAGAGGAACCCTTTGGAGCTGCTGGCTAGAGATCCCCAGTTCCTCTCCTGCCTCCCTTTATGCCTGTGGGCCGGTGAGGGAGGCGCATAGTGCGGGCCACAGGGATTAGGGTGTGCCCAGGCACACCCGGCACACCCCGTGCGCACGCCTATGTATGTATATGTACCTACTACACCATTGGAGTATCTGTTTTTCTGTTTAAGCACTATAAGACACACTCCTGAGCAGATCTGCATACATCCTGAGGCGGGGATTGTACCGTCCAGGCGCTATACAGCAGAGCTCTTTGCAGCTCAGAAAAGTGTGAGTTTAACATCTATACATCTTAAAAATACTCTAATACAGATTTAAAATATTGCACTATTATCTGTACATATTGGTCCTGCGAGATCTGGAATTGCCAATCTTTGATTGATTGTAAATAATTGTACGTGTATATATGTATATAAATATACTCTATTTTGCGCTACAAGGGCACTTTAAATATTATTGTTTTATCTGTGTGGTCGTTTTGGCGCGGTAGATCTATTAAAATAAAAATGCTTTTACTGTAATTCAGTTCATCTCTATGAGAAGAGGCTGATTGGCCAGGATGGCATTTGTGTATTAATTTGTGATTGGCTTAGCATTACGCACTTTGAATGCCGACTGTTCTCATGCTCAGCCCATTCCTTTTCCAGGATGTGTTTGGACAAATCTCTATAGCCGAGGTGAAGACGGAGCACGGCGTGGACCCCGGGTATGTCATGATGTGGGAATTCCAACCCAGCCGCCGGGGAAAAAAAAACCTGTAGTTTAGACGAACTCGCCATTTTATAAAAACCAGGAATGCTTTTTTTTCCATTCTGCTTAATTATTGATTTATTGACACCATGTCATTCACCAAGACGAGAAATCAAAGGGAATTTTAAATTTCAGTTCAAAATAGCCGACCTGGAAAAATTCAGCTTTGGTTTCCGTTTGGCTTGCTTTGGTCTTAAAGGACCACAATAGGCACCCAGACCACTTCAGCTTAATGAAGTGGTCTGGGTGCCAGGTCCAGCTAGGGTTAACCCTTTTTTCTATAAACATAGCTGTTTCATGGAAACTGCTTTGTTTACATGTGGGTTAATCCAGCCTCTAGTGGTTGTCTCATTGACAGCCACTAGAGGCGCTTCTGCACTTCTCACTGTGATTTTCACAGTGAGAAGACGCCAGCGTCCATAGGAAATGATTGTTAATGCTTTCCTATGGACTGGCTGAATGCGCGCGCGGCTCTTGCCACGCATGCACATTCAGCCGGTGACGGAAGAAGAGGGAGGAGAGGAGGAGGAGAGCTCCCTGCCCAGCGCTGGAGGGGGCCCTGAGGGTGCCCCTAAAGCCTGAGGGTGGGGGCACCCTCAGGGCACTGTAGTGCCAGGAAAACAAGTATGTTTTCCTGGCACTATAGTGGTCCTTTAAGTTTGAAATTCATTTTGAATTCTTACTTTAGTGCATCACCCGGTTTGTATGAGATGAGAGGGTGTGGACAGGAACAGGGTTATTCCAGGACATTTTAGTGACTTTATGACCTGCTGATAACCATTTATGGAACTGAAAATGAAATTTAAAAAGTATTTTATTTAAACAGATACATTATCTACCACATAAGAAAACAATGTAAATAGTGCAGTTAGTTTGGGAATGGGGGGTACTGGCATCCAAAGAACCCATCCAGCAAAGTTGTAATCCTAGATATGACAATCTGCGCACTCCATGACATTTTCAAAGTTCCAACTAACTTCCATCCAAGGGATTTATTAATATCTAGCGATACTGCCTTTAATATGTATATTATAACAGCGCCCCCTATCTGTTCTTGGTGCACATTATAGACGTATAGGCAGCATGGATACATGGAAATGACTCTGTAAGTTGGAAGCTAGCTGTGTTGGTTTGTATCACAGCTGTGTCATTTGTTCAAACCTCAGAGCTACAGGTTCTTTGCTTGGCAGGGTTAACTCACCCTTTCCGCCTTCCAAGGCAGGTAACATGAATGCGATTATGTTGGTTAATTAAAAACCAATATCTATAATATTTTGTTATCCTTCATGATAATAACAATTTTGGGGTTTGGGCTTAGCTATTTTATATTTAATTTCGGAATTTAGTCAATAAATTAATTCATTAGCCGTATTCCAGAATGGGACCAACCCCAAGACTTGACTGAAAGTCGCCTGTGAATTTGATTCCAGTAACTGTTAAAATCTAACTTCTCCATCATACGACACTGCGTGGATCTTTATTTTAAGCTAAATATTTAAACTAATATACTGTTTTTCTAACACCATGTATAAACGCAGATTTACGGAAACTTGGTTCTAAGGTTGTTCTTTCTACATATAATTCATTGTTGCCATGTTCTGTTTTGTGACCCTTACTGTACCCTGAGAAAGTGTGTAGGATGCCTCAAACCACCAGTCACCTTTATGTCAATCAAAGAAATATTTTCTGTTTGTATGTTTTTGTTTGTTTTTTTATCCCAAAGCCTGGACCAAGGTCCCAGAGACCGTCTGGATGCGGTAGAAAATGGCAGCGTGGCTATTGCGGTGGCTGAGGAGGACGATTTTAAGGACACGATCCGGCTGCATCACAAGGAGGAGGTGAGCATTCAAACCTCGAACCATGGTGGAAAAATAAAAACTAAAGAAGATAAAATAAACAGCACCCTTCATAACTATCTGTAAACTAGCCTTTATGTTAAAACAAACGTCTATGCCTGAGGAACATCTAAAAAATATATGAGGCTCAGTGTTAGTCCATCCACACGTTGGTAGAAGCCATCATGTGGTGCTTTTTATCTTACCACGCCATCCATGCATTGATTGGGGAGTTTTACATATATTTGGGAAAGACACATAACGCTGTGTGTGTGACGTTCACGTGTTTGTCTCCCTTTACAGAGTGATGTGCTTCGGTACTTTATTCACGAGGGTATGCGCTACATCTGGAGTGATCGGTCAATGGATTTCGTGACGGTAAGGTAAGACGACCTGTGACCGGCCGAGGTGTTTTCCGTAGAGTCCCTGTTCAGAGTCACAGAAAATCTAAATACAGTCTCCATTAGAGCCATTAAAAGGAGTATCTGAAACCAGGCTGCCTGTCATTGCAGCTAGGGGGAACTCTGTGGTTGGTGAAACGAGTTACGTAATAAGATAAGAGACCCCTGAATGTACGAGAAACAAACCAAATGTACCATGTTTGGTTAAATTCTTTAACCCTTCCCGACCGCGGAAGTATCAGGTACGTCCGACAAAAAACGGTCCTTAAGGACCACGGTCGTATTTGATACATCCGCGGCTAATTTGAGATCTGGAAGTAATCATGATCGCTGCCAGCCGCTCTGATGGTATTGCAGCGATGCCTCGTTGTCGAGGCATCGTACAATACCTCTCCTTACTGCTGGGCGCCGGGTGATCGCTGCCCCTGGAGCGATCACTTCCGGGTTACTCCATGTGGTACCTGGCAGTTAAGCAGAGCATCGGAAGCCATCGGGCAGGCTTCCGATGCTCTGCCTGGGCTGTGTGCCTCAAGGGGTCGATGCACTCAGTGAAGATTTAAGAAAATAAAAAGAAAAAAAAGAAAATAAATGTAACTTGCGTTACTTAAAAAAAAAAAAAATGGTTTTAACATGGGTATTTCTAAAATCAGAACAAAATGTATAAACTATGTAGCACTGGTGTTTTGTCGGTTGTAAATGCGCAACAGATTTTGGGGGTCAAAGTTGTAAAAAAAAGTGTGTTTTTTTTTTTACATTTTTTCATCATATTTTCTAAAAAAAAAATTGTAAACTATATGATATGAAAATGATGGTATCTTTAGAAAGACCATTTAATGGTTGAGAAAAACAATATATAATATGTGTGGGTACAGTAAATGAGTAAGAGGAAAATTACAGCTAAACACAAACGCCTCAGAAATCTAAAAACAGCGTTAGTCCTCAACGGTAAGAAAATTGAAAAACGGTCTGGTCACTAAGGGGTTAATGCTGTTCTGCTGTGCATTTTGAGTAGAAATCGTAGCATTGAAGCAAGTGGTTCTAATATACAATACAGGGAGTGCAGAATTATTAGGCAAGTTGTATTTTTGAGGATTCATTTTATTATTGAACAACAACCATGTTCTCAATGAACCCAAAAAACTCATTAATATCAAAGCTGAATATTTTTGGAAGTAGTTTTTAGTTTGTTTTTAGTTATAGCTATGTTAGGGGGATATCTGTGTGTGCAGGTGACTATTACTGTGCATAATTATTAGGCAACTTAACAAAAAACAAATATATACCCATTTCAATTATTTATTATTACCAGTGAAACCAATATAACATCTCAACATTCACAAATATACATTTCTGACATTCAAAAACAAAACAAAAACAAATCAGTGACCAATATAGCCACCTTTCTTTGCAAGGACACTCAAAAGCCTGCCATCCATGGATTCTGTCAGTGTTTTGATCTGTTCACCATCAACATTGCGTGCAGCAGCAACCACAGCCTCCCAGACACTGTTCAGAGAGGTGTACTGTTTTCCCTCCTTGTAAATCTCACATTTGATGATGGACCACAGGTTCTCAATGGGGTTCAGATCAGGTGAACAAGGAGGCCATGTCATTAGATTTTCTTCTTTTATACCCTTTCTTGCCAGCCACGCTGTGGAGTACTTGGACGCGTGTGATGGAGCATTGTCCTGCATGAAAATCATGTTTTTCTTGAAGGATGCAGACTTCTTCCTGTACCACTGCTTGAAGAAGGTGTCTTCCAGGAACTGGCAGTAGGACTGGGAGTTGAGCTTGACTCCATCCTCAACCCGAAAAGGCCCCACAAGCTCATCTTTGATGAAACCAGCCCAAACCAGTACTCCACCTCCACCTTGCTGGCGTCTGAGTCGGACTGGAGCTCTCTGCCCTTTACCAATCCAGCCACGGGCCCATCCATCTGGCCCATCAAGACTCACTCTCATTTCATCAGTCCATAAAACCTTAGAAAAATCAGTCTTGAGATATTTCTTGGCCCAGTCTTGACGTTTCAGCTTGTGTGTCTTGTTCAGTGGTGGTCGTCTTTCAGCCTTTCTTACCTTGGCCATGTCTCTGAGTATTGCACACCTTGTGCTTTTGGGCACTCCAGTGATGTTGCAGCTCTGAAATATGGCCAAACTGGTGGCAAGTGGCATCGTGGCAGCTGCACGCTTGACTTTTCTCAGTTCATGGGCAGTTATTTTGCGCCTTGGTTTTTCCACACGCTTCTTGCGACCCTGTTGACTATTTTGAATGAAACGCTTGATTGTTCGATGATCACGCTTCAGAAGCTTTGCAATTTTAAGAGTGCTGCATCCCTCTGCAAGATATCTCACTATTTTTGACTTTTCTGAGCCTGTCAAGTCCTTCTTTTGACCCATTTTGCCAAAGGAAAGGAAGTTGCCTAATAATTATGCACACCTGATATAGGGTGTTGATGTCATTAGACCACACCCCTTCTCATTACAGAGATGCACATCACCTAATATGCTTAATTGGTAGTAGGCTTTCGAGCCTATACAGCTTGGAGTAAGACAACATGCATAAAGAGGATGATGTGGTCAAAATACTCATTTGCCTAATAATTCTGCACTCCCTGTATGCTTGTAACAGCTTTACCTGTCAATATGTTCCATTTACATACATTGTTCTTATTATAATTTGATGCTTGTTAATATGAGGGATGTTGAGATGTAAGATATATATTGTTCAGTAGGTGCTAAGATGTATAAGGCTGGGATCACGATGTACATGTTAATTGCATCAATCTATTCACAGTTCGTTAACGGATGGCTTGACCTGTGGGGATTTGCACAGATTCAAATCAGGACTGAGTATTGCAGATCACAACTCACGGTGAGCTTCGATTCAGACAAACTACCCACTAAAGTGTGAATAGCAGATTTGGGCAATTCTTTTAATTCTAGTTTGACTTATTTTGCCCTTATTTTTTAAATATAGCTTTAAATTCTTGATAATTCACAGTGTATTAAACAACCCTGAGAGTGTAGTCGTATTTTGGCACTGTAGATATTTGAGAACTACATCTCCCATGATGCCTTGCCAGCTGTCATTTCATTGATATCTGCATTGGGAATGTTCTCACTGAACTGTGGGTTGATGTGCTAGGACCGCACAATGAGCAGCCATCACCATTTGTATTGAAAGGAGATCCAAGGTGTTTATTTTTTTATGTAACTTCATTGCAATCAAGTTGCTATATGCGGGGAGGTCCCGACCTCTGTCTTACTTAGTCCGCTAATAAACGCTGATTTTCTCAGACTATCCACTTCCTTATTGAAGCTCCGGACATTGCGCAGACGTGCAGGGGCCGGGCATTGTAGACTTTGGGTTTAAACTGATCATTAATAGTTTAATCCCTTCAAGTAAGGCAGCACCTGTTACTTGCCTGCACCATAAGAACTTCACTGTGGAAAAGTTGTTATAGTGCCCCTAGTGTCCCTTAAAGTCATGTGCAGAATTTTTCATGTTATGAGATCAGTCTGAGGGAATATCTAATCTGTTTTCGTTATATCCTCTCAGGAAGCAACTTTATGGCCCTAACGAGATAAATGTCCAAGTGAAATCCTACGGGATTCTATTAATTGACGAGGTAAGATTACGGATCCTCTTCTGTACTATGATAATTCTTTATTATGTTTTGGTACCGTTTCTTTCCCCTTATCTAGCGTTAAGCCTAGTGGCTTTTGTTAATGTTCTCTTTAAGATTCCCTCCTTTATATTTTGATTATATGGCAATAAAGTTTTTTAATTTATATTATAAAGTATTTGAGGGGCCTGTCTGTGTGTAATATGCCATGGGAATAAATATCATTATAGGCCTCTTTAGCACGCTATTGTCCCCCTGGGGGAGTATATTGTTCTTCTGTACATAACCTTCAGAAGGCATTATATTAAACCTCCAAAAGGTTATTGTTTACTTGAAATTACAAAAACTCCAAGAAACCATACATATTGCTACATTTACACGGCACATGCATTTAACTAGGGGTGTAAAAGTAAAGAGTAAGCCTGACGCGCGTTTCGGCGCTACAATACTATAAAACTTTTCAATGCCTCAGACGAAGGCGCTATAGAAGTGCCGAAATGCACGTCAGGCTTACTCTTTACTTTTTAAATTCACTGCGCCGTTAGTTAACACTATGGATAGTTTATGAGGGATTTTTGTATAATACCTATGAGGGGATTTAGTTAAGGGCTATTTTCTAGCCAGCACGTAAGGTTCAGCTTTTCATGATCAGGAATCCTTTTTTCTTGATTTTACTAAACTTTTTCAGATAGCGACCTTGAAGTCGATTCATTTTTAGTATTTTTTATGAAGGCTTAGCTGCTATTTTCACCTCTAGTGACTATTACCCCATGATTCCTTTCTGGTGGTGGTGGTGGTGGGGGTTATTTATTTTGATTCGTTGTGGCTAGACCTCAAAAGTTTAATATTGCTCAGCAACTTACAATCAGCTGGTTAACCCTTTGTGAGTAAATATACCTGAGGAATTCCTCTTAGGTGGGGGGGCTAACGATTTCAATCTATTGTCGTCAAACTTTGTTTTACAGTGCTTAGCAATTTACAATAGTTGGTTAACCCTTTGTGAACAATGTATTTTTCACTCGCCATAACCACTTTAAGCAAGAGTGACTTGGATCTATTCAACCTTTGTCCCTCCTACCTATAATTATAGAATTCATAAGCAGCCTTCATTGCTACAGAACCCCTTCCATCCCTTCAACATTGCAGAGCTTATTAGCTTCTGTTTTTTATTTTGTGTGTATTTATAAGTTTCCTTTTTTTTTGTTGGTGGTTTTGGTTATATTTTTTTTAATCATTACCTAATACACGGAATTTGTAATCATATTGTATAATATATGATTTTTATATAGGGACTTATTTGTGCTCTGAACTTTGTATCCATTGGACATTTTTCTGTATCTGCTAAAGCAGGGGTAGACAACCTTCGGCACTCCAGATGTTGGGGACTACATCCCCTATAATGCTCTTACACCCATAATGCTGACAAAGCATCATGGGAGGTGTAGTCCAAAACATCTGCAGTGCTGAAGGTTGCCTGTGCTAAAGGTTGGCAAAGGATCATGGGCAAAATAGTTCTTCAGCTGGTGTCTACCTCTCTGTCACTCCTGCAATAAATCATCAGGAACTGAGTGTGTGTGTGTGTATATATATATATAATATATTCAAATGTAAACCAGCTTCAATACAGAGAGCACAATGTACATTAACAACCTGATCATCAGTAAATTGCTGATAACTCCTGTGCTCCTTACTCCTTTCCAGACAGGGGATTGCGTTTAGGGTATTTTGGTACGGTCGCTGTTGCCAGACACAACGTGTTCTCAGCATGACAAACCAGCATAAACTAAGTTCAAACAAAAAATTCTGGAAATCAGACCAAGTATATACAGCTTTACCACAGCTGGAACTGGGCATCCACGGAGTCGGAAAGCAGGCGTCCCCTCCGCTGCAGCTATGTGAATTGTAGTTCAGTCTCCACCCAAACAGAAACTGGGGAGAAAAAGGACACTCTGTGAAACATGGCGCAATTATTGAAAAAAATGTATTTGTTATTTAAATAGCACACTCAATAGGATAGCACGAATCCAAATATACAAAGCGGAGAGCTGCCCAACGCGTTTCATGGTTAGCGCAGTGCTCATTGCCATTTCCAATTCGAATTGTGCTCTCTCGCCAGGTGCTGAATCCATTCTACATATTCCAGATATTCAGCGTCATCCTGTGGTTTTTCGAGAATTATTTCTACTATGCTGGCTGCATCATAGTCATCGCTGTGGTGTCAATCTGTATCTCTCTGTACGAGACCAGGAAGGTACGCTAGTGTGTGTCAGGAAAATAATGAAATCTTGTGATTATGGGAACATTTTAATAATAATAAAATTAGATCAAAGGTTTACCGTGATTTATAACTGCCTCCAGAACCCTTAACTTGCATTGTTTCCTCTCTTAAACACTTCAGACATAGATATCTTTTCGTTATTTTGCATTAGTTATTTATTTAAATAAATACTGGCTGCTAATCTGGTAAAGCTGATCCGTGTTCTGGCTAAACGGAGCCAGATTTCTAGTGGGTAATGGCAATGGGTGATCGCCCTGAACACGTGACGGCTTCAGTTTTTATAACTGGTGCTAACCTGCTCCTCCTTCTGTCTCAACAGCAAAGTGTGACGCTACACAATATGGTGAAAGTGATGGTGAGCCTGAAAGTACGACGTGCAAATGGAGGTAAGTATGCGCTCTGTCAGAATTTATAGCTTTTTAACCATTAACGGAAAACTGTCACTGCCCCGGGATTTACATTATTGAAAAAACCATTAAATATTACCTAGAAATTTTTTTACGTGATGCTAGTTTTTATTTTTAATTTATATTAAAGTTAGTAAATGATGACATCATCCAGTTCAGAGACGCAAAGTCAAGGCGAATGTAGGGGAGAATTGTCTGTAGTCTGATATAATATTTGATAGAGGTTTTTTCTCCAGTAGCCGTTCCACTCGTAACATAGTACCCATGACTGCTATCCGTTTACACAGAGCCCAGGTCACTGCTTTCTGTACTGGTCTTTGTGCCGTGATCATTTGAACTGGTAAAAGTTACTCAGACTTGCCGCCTTAATGACAGGAGCTTGTTCTCGCCATCCAACTGGCTCTTTTACAGAGGAGGTTTTCTTGAGTTCTGAGGATCTTGTTCCTGGTGATTGTATTATCCTCCCTGTGGCCGGCGTGATGCTGCCGTGTGACGCCGTCCTGCTGTCCGGAGAGTGCATGGTCAACGAGAGCTTACTAACTGGTGAGGAGGGAGAACCAGAAGATTAATTTTACACAACATTCTCACATCTGAATGATCTCCATGGTTTTAGCTTTCTTAATTATTATGGTTTTGTTTCGAGGCGAGAGTGTTCCCGAAATGAAGACTCCTTTACCTGATAGCGTGAGCACCGCGAACACCTTGTATTCTTCTGACGAGCACAGACGGCACACGATTTTCTGTGGGACACAAGTCATCCAGGCCAAAAGCTATGTTGAGCGAGATGTCTTGGCGGTGGTGACAAAGACAGGTAAAGTCTCTTAAAGGAACGTTTCATGCATAACTGACCAGCAGTGGTGCTGTAATGGACCACACAGTGCCAGCTTTCTGCTACCAGATTGTGCAGGTAAATCTTCTAGTCTGAATATTGGTTTTATGCCTCACAACCCGGTTTCTTTGTTGAATTTTTGTATAGGTTTCAGCACCATCAAAGGCAACCTCATCAGCTCAATTCTTCACCCCAAACCGATCAAGTTCAAGTTTTACAGAGATGCCTTCTTGTTTGTCCTCGTCCTAGCCGTGTTTGGTAAGTACTTGGCACATGCATCACTATAGATTACAAATTAAAGCGAAACACATGCATTAAAATGATACGCAAATACATTACAAATATAAATTCATTTCACGTGTGAAGTTAAGGAGTTTAGGAAGTGGCTAAAACCTCTCAGCCAATTCTAGACATCCCATTGTTCGTAGAGGTAATGATGAGCATGAAAACTAGAATAAAACCATGGTCTGCCTATAAGAAGACCCCATTCAATACAGTTACTTGTATGGAAGGCATTTCTCCTTATTGACATCTGTTGTTGACAAGTCTTATTACTCAGCAATTCTCTGCTGTTATAAACAGTAGAATCTACTTGCACCAAGGCTGAAGCTGTACGCATGAGTTCTGTTTGCTGGGAGTGCACCTTGTTAATATTGGATTTCACGCCGAATATGGGGGCTTTTCAACAAGTGTATACAACTGGAAAGCCAAACAAGAATTTAAATAATGGATGAAATATCTTGTTCCTAAAAATATATCACAAATTGCTCAATATATCCCTGGAAAATTAAGTCATCAACCAGGTTCTTAAAGCAGCACTGTCATGACTGAAACCCGACATTATGTATTTAAAAAAATTTTTTTTAACCCCCCCCCCGACTCCACTACGTCTAATTGACCCCCTAGTCAACCCCAAATGCCCAAAAGCCCACCATATTACCTCTTTTATAATCTTTATTTTCTGCCCTGACCCATATTCTGGGCGCCACCATCTTTGTGTGGGTAGATGAAGTACCTGTGGGACACGTCATCTTCCCACACTAGATAGCGCTGTGAAATTCCCACACATGCCCAGTTAAACACGTTGGGATGCGAACGTGAATTTCATCTATTCATTCATTCGTCAGAAAGCCGAATGAATGAATAGAAATGTCAGACGAACAAACATCAAATATCAGTGTTTGTTTGTTCGTTCGCTCAGTTTATTACAAGAAGGGAGCTACCAACGCGCAGCTCCCTCCTTGTAATACGTAAAGATGGAAGCGGCAGGAAGCAGTGCTCCCCACCACTTCCTAAGCCCCCCAGGTCCTCCCTCACTCTATGGGGGTCATATGACCCCCATAATAGCATAAAGTAGATTAAAATCTCCCAAATTATGGGCCCCACCGCCCCTGAGCGGTGGGTGGAGGCCCTAAATGAGAATGTGGAGGGGAGGGACCTATTGTCCTCCCCCCGACTCCCACCCTTGCATGGCGGGTGGGGGCCCTAAAAAACAATACGGTGGGGGGGCTTATTTTATAAAATAACAAATTTCCTGTAAAAAAAACATAAAACTTACCATTTGATGTCTTCTTTTTTCTAAAATCTTCAGCCCCAAATAAGGCCAAATAAAAACCATACCCGTCGAACTTGTAAAAAATAAAATAAAAAAAACAGACGAAAAAGAAAAAAACCTGACGCTAAAAAAATTAATCCATCTTCACCCGGCCGGGGCATGGCGCAGACTGAGCTCCGCAGGGCGGGGCAAGGCTTTATAAGCCTTGCCCCGCCCTGCAATTTCGATAAGAACACTCTGATTGGTTGGTTTAAGCCAATCAGAGTGCTTTGTGTCATTTTACACAGCGTGGGACAATTTCAAAGAACTTTCCCGCACTGTGTAAAATGACTCATAACACTCTGATTGGATGGCTTGAAATCTAACCAGTCAGAGTGCTAGTCATTTTACACAGCGTGGGAAAGTTCTTTGGAAATTTCGCACGCTGTGTAAAATTACACAAAGCACTCTGATTGGCTTAAACCAACCATTTAGAGTGTTCTCAGCCTAATTGCAGGGGCGGAGGTCAGTATGCGCCGTGCCCTCGCCGGGTGAAGATGGATTAATTTTTTAGCTTGGGGTTTTATCTTTTTTTGTCAGGTTTTTTTTTTTTTGCGCTCAGGTTTTTTATTTTATTTTTTACAAGTTCGACGGGTATGATGGTTTTTATTTGGCCTTTTTTGGGGCTGAAAAATGAAGATTTTAGAAAAAAGAAGACATCAAATGGTAAGTTTTTTTTTTACAGGAAATTAGTTATTAGTCCCCCCTCACCATTAGGGTGAGGGGAGTAGGTAGGGGGTTATTTTTTTTTTATTTGCGTGGGGGGAGTGACTAGTGGCTTGGGTACCCCTAGTCACCTTTGGGGGGGATTTTCATTTAGGGCCCCCACCCGCCGCGCAGGGGTGGGGGCCGGGGGGAGGTCAATAGGCTCCCCCCCACATTCTCATTTAGGGCCCCCACCCAGGGGAGAACTTAGGGCTGGGGGGAGAACAATAGGCCCCCCTTATTGTTATTTAGGGCACCCACCCGCTGCTCAGGGGTGGGGGCCAGGGGGGGAGACTATAGGTGTTTGTCCCCCCCTTATTGTTATTTAGTCAGGCGTAGGAAACCTCCATAAGACAAAATAGTCCCTACTTTGTCTTAAGTTTTAATGAAAACTAGAGCAGACAGGAAGAAATGAAGAACAGTTCCTGACAGAGGGAGAGAATAGGAATCGATTGGGTAAAGATAAGTTCGATATAACAGTGCCGCTTTAAATGGAAAAACAAACTTCTGTTATTCTGTATCTCTGTACTATGAATACTTGGAAAATATATATCTTACAAAAATGTGATGCTGAATAACAAAATAATTGTGTGTATATGTTTGTATATATGTGTGTGTATGTGTGTAGATATATATATCTATCTCAAAAACCAAGAATGTCATGCTAGGGGAAAAATGTGATTGAAAACCCCTTCCACCTAAAGTCAGTGTACAGTCAATACTTTGTTAAAACACAGATCTGCACACCAGTCAAGTCATAAGCCAAAGCTGTTGTGTACACAAACTCTGAGGAATCCATGTTTAAATTGGAATGAGCCAAAAATGTAATTCTTTGTTGAACTAATTTGCATACGCCCACCCAGAATCCCTTGCAGTACTAACAACACTGCAAATTGGAGAAAAGCAAATCTTATGGCTTGACTGGTATATATATAGCGAGAGAGAGAGAGCAATTCAGAACTCAAGCTGTCAATCAATGTTTGTGGCTAGAATAGTTCATACAGTATTATGAGAGGAAGGGAGATGGTAGGAGAGCAGTGCGGTGTGCGGCAGATGTGAGGTTTGAAGGACGGCTGCTCTGTGTTTGTAGATAACAGTCTTTGTTTCACACATGTTGCTGAATGAGTGAATCCCCCAGGCTTGTGTTTATTTCCAGAGAAAAGTGCACTGTGATCTTGGCAGTCATTCTAATCACAGTAATTCATCACAAAAACACAGCCCTGCCTCCCGTCCACGTTACAGAGGTCTGAAACGCAAGTTAACCATTTACGTGGCCTAGGCATGTTGGCCCTCACCAGCCAGAAATACAGGCTCTTCCAGACTGCCAACTATGTATCTTTCTTTTGCCAATCTTTATTTAAGAATTGTTTCTATCAAGTGACAAACCGATACATGAAACGCATCCTACGCCAGGGAGACAAAGAGAGCAGAGATACGTCAACAAACAGGGCTGGCCCTGTATCTGGACTGAATATAAACCGTTTGACAAGTTCTGGTTTTATTCCCACGAGGGGGGAAGTATTTACCCATTGCACACTTCCTGAGATAATTTACTCAAACTATAGGGGGAACATACAGCTAAAATAATTTTTGTTTCACATTAAAGACACAAACTTGGCCAATTTCAAATCTGTTCCCAGTATGTCGAAATGTTTACCTCTGTCTCGGAACATCACAGACCCTTTGATGTTGTTTTGTGTTATATATACGGTAAAGCATGTTGTCTCCCCACATCTCATATTTTTTATTCTTTAACCAATTCTTCTCCTTTTCAGCATTCTTTGGAACCATTTACAGCCTCGTAATGCTGATCAGAAATAAGGTAAGTGCTCCAATAAAAATTGTTCTGCAAAGTATTGTCCCCAGTATTGATTAAGTAATAATACAAGTAGTGATAACTGACTCCTCAGCCCAGTGTAGCCCTTTTAGCTGTGCGTTCTACGTAGCCATGTTTTCCATTGTGTCACCTTGTAACGTGACTCTTGGTCCCTTTTTACACAATGTGTATCTGCAGCTTCCTGTCTATCAGTTAGTGATTCGTGTTCTCGATGTGATCACCATCGTCGTCCCTCCGGCATTGCCAGCTGCCATGACTGTGGGTACAATCTATGCTCAGGGCCGTCTGAAAAAGAAAGGGATCTTCTGTATTAGTCCCCCACGTATCAATGTGTGTGGGAAGGTCAAGATGGTCTGTTTTGACAAGGTATGATCAATGTGTATATTTAGTGCTATGTTCTATGTAGACAGTGCTGTGTGTTCTTCAGATTAAATCAAACTGACATAAAATAAAGTCCAAGTAGTCAGTGAGATAACTCAGTGGATAGGACTCTAGCGGTGGTATTGTACAGTCAATGGTTAGATTTTAGATAAAGTTAACAACATCTAGGCCCAGGTCGGACATGGAAACTAGCAACAAATTAAACGTACATTCCTTGGTCACATACTTTGATATTATGATTATGTGTTTGTAACGTGTCTCGTGTTTAGTCTTGGAACTCTTACAGTCCGTTCATGTTCTGCTCCTAGACAGGCACTCTGACCGAAGAAGGGCTTGATGTTTGGGGAGTCATTCCCCTGGATAATGTCAATTTCCTGCCCATTGTTCATGAACCTCGATACCTGTTGGATGGGCCTCTGCTCTATGCCCTCGCTGCCTGCCACTCGGTGACCCTACTAAATGGAAGTCCCATCGGTGATCTCATGGACGTAAAGATGATGGACTCAACAGGTTGGGTAAGTTAGAAGTAGCCGGCAAAACTATGTAACAAGGCTGTTACTGCTTTTGTGGTATAAGTTTGCGGAATGTTTTGGTGAAATTGAAATTCCTTAAATTCAAAGTAAATTTAAAATTTTAGGCCAAAATTTTGTACTCTTGACAATTCCCACTTAAAACTGAAAAGTATATGTTCATTAGATTTAGCCAGCTGTTCTGTGGGAATGTCCATGCTTGCCTAGTTGCCGTCCTGTCCGAACACATTTGCTGGTCTTCACATTCGCTACTACGTACACGGCTGCTCAGTGGTTTCTTATGGGATATACTTTCCACATGCTGTGGTAGTTACTTTCATGAAAATACATGAATGAAACTACTGTGCATAAAAGAATGGTTGAAACATTGTTTTCATAAATAAAGCCAGCAAAGGGTGCCTATGAATTAAAGCTCAAGCTCTCTATTAGAAATCTGAGTGCAAATGTAAGGTTAATAGGGATAAATGGCCTACCCATTGACATTATTGAACAGAGGGTGTTTTAAAGCTACAGAGATGATTGCAATGCGTGTAGACATGGATAGAGAACATACAACATGAGTTTGGTATAGAGCATGGGTGTTTATGGTGAGTTATTGGTAAACCTTGTCATGAATAAAGTTTATTATTTTTGAGGGGTGCGGGATACATGAAGATGATCCAGATATTTTATGTCCTTTTTGTGTGTATTTTAGACCCTGGAAGACAGTGAAACAGAGGAGCAATTGATTTCAATTTTTGGAACAAAGATTTTAACCATGATCAAGCCACCCCCTGGTGAAGAACAGCCCCATGGACCGGTGAGTGTCAGCTCTGTGGGTCCCTCCTTGACGAGTGCAGGCAGTGCTATGGAACAGCCCTTACTCTTCAGTTTCAGATAAAACCTCACACTTAACATTCAAATACCAAAAAACTTACTTGTCACTTTTCAATTAACAGAGGAGCGAGATGTAAGAGATGGAGCCTGCAAAGTAACAGATTGGTATTAACGGTCGTTAATCGCTTTATGGTTTGTTTCCGTGGCTTACACTGCTTGTCTGGAATTCAAAGGAAATTTCACATTTCTTGCACCCATGCAGAGGGTGGAGACACTGAATGTCAGTCACACTGTGCAGCACTGCCCCAGGAAGCACCTCTAACAGCCATCTGAGGAGTGGCTAGTGGAGGTATCCATAGGCTGTAATGTAAACACTGCATTTTTTCTGAAAAGACAGTGTTTACTGCAAAAAGCTTGAAGGGAATGATTAAGCTCACCAGAACAAATTCAATAAGCTGTAGTTGTTCTGGTGACTATAGTGTCCCTTTAAAAAAAAATCCCAACGGTAGTAATTAATCCGACAAAGTTATCTCCAGCTATCTCTATGAACTAACTGGGATATTAAATCGACTTAACACAAAGTAGGAATTCTAAAAATGAAAAACAAGCTTGTATTGACATACTGAGCTATTTGTCCCCCAGAAACACCAGGTGCCGGTGGGTGTTTTGCAGCGTTTCCCCTTCTCCTCCTCGCTGCAGCGAATGAGCGTCATTACCAAACTACCAGGAAGCTTGCACTGTGATCTGTACTTAAAGGGAGCCCCAGAGATGGTTGCCAGCCTGTGCAGGAACGAGACCGGTGAGTCTGGCTTCTCAGAGCTTTCGCTGTAAGTGAGAGAGGTTCTGAGACTCTATATAGAACAAACTGAGAGAGGGCTGGGTATTCTAAACTCAGAGTGTGTGTTCAATGGGAAAATAACATGTTAGATCTATAGGGTCCATTTATACAGTGTTCTAACAGGGGTAATAACCTGCCCCGAGTGTTATAACAGGGGTAATTACCTGCCCCCAGTGTTATAACCAGGGTAATAACCTGCCCCAAGTGTTATAACCGGGGTAATAACCTGCCCTGAGTGTTATAACAGGGGTAATAACCTGCCCTGAGTGTTACAACAAGGGTAATAACCTGCCCTGAGTGTTATAACAGGGGTAATTACCTGCCCCGAGTGTTATAACAGGGGTAATTACCTGCCCCGAATGTTATAACAGGGGTAATAACTTGCCCGAGTGTTATAACCAGGGTAATAACCTGCCCCAAGTGTTATAACCAGGGTAATAACCTGCCCCAAGTGTTATAACAGGGGTAATAACCTGCCCTGAGTGTTATAACAAGGGGCAAGTTATTAACCAACTTGCCAGGGTAATAACACTCAGGGCAAGTTATTACCCCTGTTATAACCTGCTAGATGTAGAAGTTAGTTTTCTGTTTCTATGTGTAGCGAGTGTTGCAGGGGGCATAATATTCTGTCCTATGTCTTGGTAACGCTCTATGTTGCGGTAACACCCTGTATGGTATGTGTGCACAGTGCCCCCGGATTTCTCTGCCATGCTACGCCAGTATACCCAGGATGGGTACCGTGTTCTTGCATTTGGATATAAAACGCTCCCTTCAATCAACTCGTTTGAAGACGCTCAGGCGATGGCGCGGTGAGTATCTTTTTTTTTTGCTGTTTGTTAAATTTTTTTATATTTTTTTTTTATGTAACATTCCTGTAATTTCAGAAAGCATTTGTTACCAGTGTCATTGCTGGGTCAGGGGTTAAAATATCAGAGATAATTCCTGTACTCTCGTCCCTGCATTTGTTAATATTTTTTTTGTAGCAGAGGAGAATATTTCCAATTTAGCACTTTCCCCCCCGATTTGCAGTTCAGTTTGCAATGCACTATAATCCAGTGTTTAGTGAATAAGCCCCAATTCCTTTGTGATGTCCCTGCAGGGAGTCTGCCGAACGTGAGCTCACTTTTTTGGGATTTCTTGTGATGAAAAATGTTTTAAAACCGGAGACTGCTCCCGTTATCTACGAACTGCGCAAAGCCGAGATCCGAACTGTCATGGTGACCGGTAAGTCATAAAGTCGGGTAATGAGAAATGAAGCCAAGTATTTCAGGCAGTGGTTGTTACTCTACGTATTCTGTCTCTTTCTTTGGCAGGTGATAACATGCTGACCGCTGTAAATGTTGCCAAGAGCTGCCACATGGTGGAGTCTACTGAGAAAGTGTACTTTGTGAATGTTTCTCCTCCTTTGTACAGTAGTGCAGCCACACTGAAATTCATCCCATCGGAGTTGTCGCCAGGGGAGGACCCCCGAGAGGTAAACCGTATACTTCTTCCCGTTAACTAAAATCCATGTTTCCATTGTCTCTAACGTTACATTCCATTAAACAATGTGGAAATAGTAAGGAAAAGGCACAATGTGGATTCCGGTAGGATGTAGCTGGATTGAATTGGCTGATCTGGGAATGTCAGAGCTCATATTAACGATTAACTCTTTCAGTGCAGTTACTCGAGATGTGAAGAAAGATTAGGTCAGAGAGGTTCCATACAAGGGGGTCAATTTAGGGAAAGGGATAATTATTTCCTCTCCCTGCATGTAGTTTAATTTAATGTTCTGTTTTTGTTTTTTTTAGGGATTGTACCAGCAAGGAGGGACCTTCCTCAACAAGGAGCCCTTTTGCTTTGCCATTAATGGAAAGTCTTTTGCCGCGTTGACGGATTACTTTCCAGATTTACTGCCCAAAGTAAGTGCATCGTTTAGGGGCTCGGGTCAGCCATTTAATCTGCATTGTATTTTGGGGTGGGATTTGCTGATATTATCTAGATTGGCAACGTCTGGTTTGCTTCATTTAAATGTGAGAATATTTAGCGACCAGTCCTGGAGATGGCTTTGTGGATGTCATTTTATTTGGAGCAGATAAATAAATTGCCAAATACTAGGAGAGACAAGTAAATGGTCAGCTTGTATTCAACATAGACTTGTATATAGCTGGCGGTTTAATAAAGGAAACAATGCAAGGTTTGTGGGATGAATGAGGAGCGATACAGAAAATACTAATTCTTTAAGAGGGTAGTATGTTAATGGAATTGCCGCCCAGCCGCAGTAATCAGAGAATGAGATAATGAATTAAATAACTATATGAACATTTCTGCCTTAGAGCAGGAACATATACCTGTATCAATAACTGTTGCCGTTTGCGTTGTTTAGATCCTTATCAATGCCACCATATTTGCCAGAATGTCACCTGACCAGAAAACGCAGCTGGTGCGCAACTTCCAGGAGCTGAAGTGAGTGTTTCTCAATAAATGGGGTGTTCGTTTATAATGGGCGGAATAGCAGGTTTGAGAGTACTTGCAGTAGATTATTAGAACTTTTTCCTGTAAGAAGATTTAGATTGTAAATGGAATGATATCACAGACTGTTTGTTTCAGGACTACTGGTAGACATAGAGGTAGATGCAGGGACCCAGAAGAACAGATTCTGATTGGTTAGAGTGAAGGTAGGTCGTGACACATTACTGGTCTCCTAGAAATTCTCATGACTTAGTTCTGCTTCTTGTTAATGAGATGGGTGGAACCTGTAAGGTCAGAGTTGGTAGTGCAGCCCCTAACCTGAAACCTCTTTCCATCACTAATCAAGTTCTGTACTGACCATTCTAAACAGTTACTGCGTAGGAATGTGTGGGGACGGAGCGAATGACTGCGGGGCACTTAAAGCAGCAGATGTGGGGATCTCGCTCTCTGATGCGGAAGCTTCTGTCGCGTCTCCCTTTACCTCCAAACTCTCTAACATTGAGTGTGTGCCAGCTGTCATCCGGTGAGTATGCATGGGCAGTGGAGCTGCCTAAACAGGGCAGTGCCTCATTTTGTGATCATCATTAACCATTCCCAGTCCACAACAGTGGCAGTGCCTTGCTGCACCCAGCAAAATATCACCTTTTGTAATTGGAAACAAAACGGTCATAGATCATGCCTAAAATAGGCCAAACGTATTTTTTTTTTTTTTTTTATTGAATATAATTTTACTTGTATTTAGTTCTGCGAATATTGCTTTAGTAATAGATTATAATAACAAGTTCTGTAATGGTCTTATGGGATCTTTCCCTATAACGGAGTATTTCTGGAATTGTAGGGAAGGACGCTGCTCTCTCGAGACGTCATTTGGAGTGTTCAAATACATGGCATTATACAGCCTCACTCAGTTTATAACCGTGCTGGTCCTATACACCGTGAGTACACTCTGTCTGTGTCTGTGTGTAACGTTCTATCTGTTAACATTAAAATTGGGCTCTCTGAGAGTTCTGTGTTTAATACTATATCACATTGAGGTTTGTGTGTGTGAAAGGCTGTGAGTGTGCCCAGCTTCATGACAATAAAACATTTTGTATGTAAATCTTGTGCCTGAGTGAGGATTAATAAGAGTGAGTGCAGACTGTTGTAATATTCTTCCCAACAGGTGAGCACTAATCTTGGTGACTTCCAGTTCCTGTTCATCGACCTGGTGATCGCTACATCTGTGGCCATCCTAATGGGCAGAACTGGTCCTGCCGATGAGTTGGGGATTAAACGCCCACTAGGAACCCTAATTAGTATCCCCGTGCTGGGGAGTCTCATCCTGCAGATCCTGCTAATCTGGATCGCCATCCTTCTGTCTGTCTTTATTACCCAATCACAGACCTGGTAAGTTAAACCAAACCGGATCAGGTCAGTCGCTGGGGCCAAGTGCTATGACCCATCATTAGTAAAGTTCAGGTCAGTCGCTGGGGCCAAGTGCTATGACCCATCATTAGTAAAGATCAGGTCAGTCGCTAGACGAAGTGCTATGACCCATCATTAGTAAAGATCAGGTCAGTCACTGGGGCCAAGTGCTATGACCCATCATTAGTAAAGATCAGGTCAGTCGCTGGGGCCAAGTGCTATGACCCATCACTAGTATGGATCAGGTCAGTCGCTAGACGAAGTGCTATGACCCATCATTAGTACGGATCAGGTCAGTCGCTGGGGCCAAGTGCTATGACCCATCATTAGTAAAGATCAGGTCAGTCGCTGGGGCCAAGTGCTATGACCCATCATTAGTAAGGATCAGGTCAGTCGCTGGGGCCAAGTGCTATGACCCATCATTAGTACGGATCAGGTCAGTTGCTAGACGAAGTGCTATGACCCATCATTAGTAAAGATCAGGTCAGTCGCTGGGGCCAAGTGCTATGACCCATCACTAGTACGGATCAGGTCAATCGCTGGTTCCAAGTGCTATGACCTATCATTAGTAAAAATCAGGTCAGTCACTAGACGAAGTGCTATGACCCATCATTAGTAAAGATCAGGTCAGTCGCTGGGTCCAAGTGCTATGACCCATCACTAGTACGGATCAGGTCAGTCGCTGGGGCCAAGTGCTATGACCCATCATTAGTAAAGATCAGGTCAGTCGCTGGGGCCAAGTGCTAGGACCCATCATTAGTACGGATGAGGTCAGTCGCTGGGGCCAAGTGCTATGACCCATCATTAGTACGGATCAGGTCAGTCGCTGGGGCCAAGTGCTATGACCCATCATTAGTAAAGATCAGGTCAGTCGCTGGTTCCAAGTGCTATGACCCATCATTAGTAAAGATCAGGTCAGTCGCTGGGGCCAAGTGCTATGACCAATCATTAGTACGGATCAGGTCAGTCGCTGGGGCCAAGTGCTATGACCCATCACTAGTACGGATCAGGTCATTCACTAGACGAAGTGCTATGACCCATCATTAGTAAAGAACAGGTCAGTCGCTGGGGCCAAGTGCTATGACCCATCATTAGTACGGATCAGGTCAGTCGCTGGGGCCAAGTGCTATGACCCATCACTAGTACGGATCACGTAAGCCACTGGGGCCGAGTCTAAAAGACTAACCTAGTCCGGTACAGACATACATTTAAAGTAGGAAAGAAACCTAAAAACACATTTACATTAAATCCATGTTGCTTTCCCTATTTATTCAAGCTGTTTTGTTTAATTGTTACCACCTGATTATTTTTATTGCAGGTTTGTGCCGATAAATGCCACCAGCACAGCTCCGCAGCACCTGCCAAACTATGAGGATACCACTCTATTCTGCTTGTCCATATTCCAGTATCTGATCCTGGCCGTCATTCTGTCTAAGGGATACCCCTTCCGAAAGCCACTTTACACCAATAGTAAGCTGTCACTCTGTGTATCCCACTCACATCCTCCAGAGAGAATCGCTGATACATTATCTCTCCAACACACCGCTTTTATACCAACACCACCAGTAAACCATGCCAGGAGGCTTTTACTTTGCCAGTGCCTCTGTCTATAACCTTGGAGTCTATTCAAGGAATAATTTACGAGAGCAGGTTTAGACGCTTTTGGTTGGCTCATAATTCACTTCACATTTCTCTTTATTCACTATCCACAATAAACAAAGCACCATAAACCCAGTGGCTCATCGTTGTTTTTGAACGGATCTCATTGCTGTAGTGAGATTTATTTAAAAATAGCTCCAGCTGCGTTAAAACTAAAAGGTTAAGCTAAGTTTCGCTCACATGAATTTTGCTGAAATGACCAAATTTACCCTTTGTGAATAACTAAAGGGTAAATTTGTGACATCAAGGGTTGGGTTAGAATTGTGACATCAAGCAGCATCCAGCTATTTGGTAAATGTAACATTACGTCATTGTGTTTCTGTGCAGTTCTGTTCCTGCTCCTACTATTCGTCTTGCTCGCGCTGGCTTTCTGGATAAACCTCTATCCCCTGAATTTCATGATATACTTGCTGCAGTTGAAGAACATTCCCGACTTTAACTTCAAGTTTGTGATCATTGGACTGGCGGCCGTGAACTTCATAGCTGCCTTCCTTGTAGAGGTGAGTCTGTCATGGTGTTGGCATTATCGTTCAGATCGTAGGATCAGCAAGGCATTTAGGAATACTAATATTTTATCATATCAGGGCTGTTAAATGGGGAGTTTATAGAAAATGAGCAATTCCTGTGTCAATTCTCCCCAAAGTTAGTATCCCCCATGAGAGCTGGAGGATTTGGGGATAAATATTTAATGATCTCCTTGTTCATTTTCATCAGTTCTGTTTTTTTAAATAAACCTGTTTATTTTCTATCATTAGCGTTTAATATCACATTTGCACATTTCCTTGGTTAGAACTCCACGGCAAACGCTTTCCTCTCCAGAGGCTTATTCAGTGTTCGGTCATGATTTGAAGCACTCCCCCTCTATTTAGAAATGTTAAAAGATCAGATGAAATCCGCTTTATATGGTTCTTGCCTTTGACAAAATTGCACAGATCTTATTAATTATGTATAGCGCTTATCTGAGCTTCCAATTAGCCTCAAACCACCAAAAGTACACCGTTGCACTGAACATACCCCTCCAGTTTCCCCTACCTGGTTGTCTAACCCCAGGGTCGCCCCCACGCCCGCCCTCAGCACTGAAATCCACACACGTTGTAGTATGGGGGAACAGTATTAGCGAGCACTGGTTCAGACCTGTTCAGGGCCTGTTCCAGTGCACATTAAGCCTTAGACACACAGTGACACAGAAAACTGATCCAGATCCAGTAAGGGGGAGCTCTGCCAAAACGTACAACAATAAGACAGGCGTGCCAAGACTCGACACAGAGAATAGTTTAATCCTTTCATACTTTCACTCTCACAGAGTCTGTGATATTACCCAGTATATTCCTGACCTGGTTCATGGCTGGGTACATGTTTCTGTCTTGGCCTAAACTTGTGTAAGATGCAGAAGAGGTCATGTTGCGGTAGGTAGCAAAACTTCCCTCTGAACCACTGGCAGGGGACGTTACTGAGCTGTCAATTTAAATGGATTATAGAGAACATGCAGACTGTGAAATTTAACAATACTCAGCGTTTCACCTGTCCAGGACCCATACAATAAATAATATTATCTCCTGAATCCCAGGATGTGCATGACATACAGTGACGGCTAAATGGATCTTTCCTGAGTAAATATTCTGGTGTCCTCCTGATTAACAGCAGCATTAAACAACGCAAGTAAAATTTACAGAAATCAGTTGATTGTATACAGTCAAAATTAGTAATATAGCTAATAAAAAGCAATTTAAATATTCACTCGCACTATTTTAATCTTCAAGTTGAGAATGAAATAGAGACAACCATAGTGTTAGTTTTTTGTTTTTACTTGACCTATTAAATTTTAAATAAAACTTAAATAGATTGTAAAATGGAGTTTATATCTGACTAGATGTCAGATTTAAATGCAGCATTGACTTCAGTATGAGCTGAGTAGAATGGAAAAGGCTTAATGCAGAGATGGTTTGGGGACTGGGCCTAAGGAGGAGTAGAGATAGATACAGTTATTTCAAGATCCTCTGTGAGAATGGTGTCTTTTTTCTATCAAACCTGTGTCTTATCTGCACCATGTCGCTTTAACCCCTGTATCACAACTCAACTTTGAATTCTATGTGTCGTCTTGCTCAGAAATGCTTCAGACTTGAGAAAGGGAGGTTCTCCCAAAAGCTTGTTATTAAAAAATTCTGTTAGTCCAATAAAAAAGGTATTACAATATACGAATTGTATCTTTTTTTACATCTACACCACAGGACTAATACGGCTGCAATCTCTACTTGAACATTTATTTCAAGGAATTTACTGCTAGGAGCAGCAAGCAGGGGGAGGAGTGGGAGGTCACAATAAACAGTGGTGGTGTACAATATAGAATTTTGCCAAATCCTATCAGCCAGATTATTAATAACTACATGTGACTGCAAGTACAAAATATTACAGTACTACACTATAGATAACCATAACAGCACTATAGCGGTATTATAATAAAGTAATAATCTAGTGACAAAGGTTAAAGAATTCCGGTGCAGGATCTTCTGTACCTTAACCTTAACGTTGTTCAATTGAAGAGGCTTGATGCAGAGATGGTGTGGGGATTGGGCCTTCAGTTAGGACACAAAAAAGGCAGCAGATCTGAGAGATTTAATACATTTCTTTAAAAGAAAGGCTGCTATACACATCATTGGCCTTTACTGGGGCTGCTATACACATCATTGGCCTTTACTAGGGCTGTTATACACATCATTGGCCTTTACTGGGGCTGCTATACACATCATTGGCCTTTACTAGGGCTGCTATACACATCATTGGCCTTTACTGGGGCTGCTATACACATCATTGGCCTTTACTGGGGCTGCTATACACATCATTGGCCTTTACTGGGGCTGCTATACACATCATTGGCCTTTACTAGGACCAGGGCTCCAGTCCTGCAGGAACGCGTGGGAACTGCTTTTCTGCACTTTTTTCACAGCAGGAACACCTTTCCCGTTGCTCCTGCAGGCACTCAGGGGGTGGCAAAAAATACAGCCCCCAAATGCCCCCCCTGTTTTCCCTGTTATGGGGGGACCCAAGAGGTGGCCTAAAGACCACCTGATGGACCCCCCCGGCGGGCGCCTGTCTCCCTGTCAGAGGTGGCGAGGGAGGTGTGTTCTCCCAACTCTGCTCCCTCGTACGCTGTTTGCTGATGCCGGGAGCCGGAATATGACGTCATATTCCAGCTCCCGGCATCAGTAGACAGCCTGCGAGGGAGCAGAGAGAACACAGCTCCCTTGCCGCGTCTCACAGGGAGACAGGCGCCCGCCACACTGAAGCCCCACAGGACCCCAGGGACAGGTCCACGCCAGCTCTCCAGGTAGGGAGGCTGGGTGGACATTTTTAAATTTAAAAAAATAATAATTTGTGTTTCTGTGAGTGTATGTGTGTGTCTGTCTGTGAGTGTGTCTGAGTATGTGTGTGTGTGTGTGCGTTTATATATGCCTACGATATTGTATATTATTTTTTTGGTGGGGGGGTGGATCTTGGGTGAGTTCCCACACTTTATTCCCCAGGACTTGACCTCTGTTAACCACTTAAGGACCAAACTTCTGGAATAAAAGGGAATCTTGACATGTCACACATTAAATATACATCGTTGGCCTTTACTAGAGCTGTTAAATGTATATCTTTGGCCTTTACCAGGGCTGTTATATACATCCCTAATTCTTACTAGGGCATAACCGCAATGTTATCTTTAGTACCTCTCTTGCTGACCGCCACAAATGTTTCTCCTAGAGAGGATTTAATTAGCGCAGCACGGCCATGTATGTGCACTAGCCCCTAATGCTTTCCAATGGGGAAGGTGGAGAAGGACAACAGGGAGGCCAGAGCTGTGATTGAGTAAAGTTAACCCACGTTTTCATGTTTTCCTGTTAACATTGTTTTATTTCTTTCGAACTCTGTGCTCAACTCCTTCTCCTCCCATCTTCCAGACCGCCCTGGACCACGGATGCCTAAACTGCCTGCGGCGCCTACGAAAGAAAAAAGAGTCAAAGAAATTGTATAAAAGATTAGAGAAATACCTTCGTGGCCAGCATTCGTGGCCTCCTCTAAACCAGACATTGTACCCCAGCTCTAGTCATGCTGCTCTGAAAAGGTAGCAGAACCCACACTGTCACAAGTCTGCAATCTATGCAAACGAAGATTAGGTCACAATGCCACGTTTTCCCAGCATCCTTCTAACTCTGCTCTTTTCTCTGGACCCAAATGGAGTATAGTTTAACGCCGGGAGCAGAGCTTTATCACGTAGCCAAAGTTTCCAAACAAAATGTATTTATTTTTGTAGATTTTTAAAAGACAAGGAAATCCTTGGAACCACTGTTTGCGAAGGAGTGAAGCCAAAGTCTGCTGAATGGGAGATCATGTCTTTATTTAAACTACTGTTCATGCAGCGCCAAATGTGAAATGATCGTGTCTCTGTAACACTGGTAATAAATACAGTGTTTCTATCCACAAGGATCCACTAAATGGGAAAATATTTCCTGTAACACTGGAATTGTTTACGGTGTTGAGAAGATAATTGAAGGATAAAGGGTTTTGGGATTTTTTTATTTTTTTTTTGCGTTGGAAGCCTGTAAATGTTGACATCTCTCATAGAATCAATTGTTCTGTTTAAGACCATTATAAATCATGTTTTACTTGTTAATTCCCCTGCAGACAGTGGATCCCGCAAGCACCAGTCAGGGATATTCGCTATACGGTGAAATGACTATGAATAATGCCACTTTCTAGATTGCAAAAAGTCTCAAGTCCTGCTGTCTCTGAAATTCTGCTTTTTGTTGGCTTCATATTTATTATTCCCTTGAACCAAATAACCCTTAAACATTACTCCTGCTGCACTGATGCACTTTTATCTCCAAAAAAATGAGATCTTACATGTGTTATTTGTCAGTGAAGAGAGTCTGTCATTGCATTTTTAATGAGACTGTACCCAGTATACCTGTCTGCGTCTTTCGACCAATCCACAATGGAGAGAAAACGTTGTGTAACTTAAAATACAAAGTGTTTTCTCCAAATTATTCGAGTCGCTAAAATCTTGACTTTTGATTCTATAGAAACATTAAATGTTATTAAATAAAGAAATGTATTGTTTATTTAATATGCTTACTGAGCTGTTTATATTGTGGGCCACATTGTTTACAATTAGAGTGCGTTATTATTTATTGGGAAGGTTTATATATACAGTAGTTTTCTAATATTCTTTTTAAAGGTGGTAAACTCTTATAATATTAGTTTTTGACCCTTATTGGTGCAAGTAGAGGTTTTAAATTCTCTCTAGACATACACCCGGGAAATGTATGATGTTCTACGGCAGAGGACTGAGTGACCAATGGGAGATGAGCTAAGCAGTTATTCAGTCTCTGATTGGACATTAGCTGTCCTGCCAGTCTGTCTAACCTCCTGTAAGTACTTACCTGATATCACATGTAGTTCCCATTCCTCTAGTAAGCCCCATTTTAAAACCTAAAGGAATTTTGTCTTTTTCTGTTTTATTGCTATCATTCCTCCATGACCTTTTGCACAGATTGTTAATTTTTCTTTACAAATCACCAGCATGTTCTGCAGCTAAAACACAGTAAGTTATGACACTGAAGAATTTAAAGGACCACTATGGTGTTAATAGGTCCCCCCCACCCTTATGGCCCCCTTCCCGCCGGGCTCTAAAGAAAGGAAGGGGTTAAAGGCTTACCTTTCTCCAGCGCTGGGCTCCCTCGGCGCTGGGGACTCTCCTCCCTCTTCTGCCGAATGCGCATGGATTCGGCCAGTCCATTCAGCCAGGAAATAATGCTTTCCTATAGACGCTGGTGTCTTCTCACTGTGAAAATCATAGTGAGAAGCGCAGAAGCGCCTCTAGCGGCTGCCAATGAGACAGCCACTAGAGGCTGGATTAACCCATATGTAAACATAGCAGTTTCTCTGAAACTGCTATGTTTATAGCAGGCAGGGTTAACCCTAGATGGACCTGGCACCCAGACCACTTCATTGAGCTGAAGTGGTCTGGGTGCCTATAGTGGTCCTTTAAGCCAGTGGGTAAAGAGTCGACTCAACCCCCTAGGTAAAGCGGTTTCATCTATAATAAATATATATTTAAAGGATCACTATAGTGTCAGGAAAATAAACTCGTCAGGGTCCCACTCCCACTGGGCTGAAGGGATTAAAACCCCTGTTGGCGCTATATAAATGGCGATAATAATAATAATAACAGCAAAAACAACATTTCTAGAAAAACTAGTTTTTAGTGTCATGCATAGATGTAATACCATGGTGCTCCAGTAGGGGCAAGCACTGCTGTGGTCAGGTAGAGTGCATGCTCATGTTTGTACTTTTGTGGTATTTAGGTCTACAGTGAATACAGAATGCACGCTTCTAACTGCCTTACACGTGGTCTGACTACCTTACACATGGTCTAACTACCTTACACGTGGCCTGAGGCCTTACACGTGGTCTAACTACCTTACACGTGGTCTAACTACCTTACACGTGGTCTAACTACCTTACACATGGTCTGACTACCTTACACGTGGTCTGACTACCTTACACGTGGTCTGACTACCTTACACGTGGTTTGAGGCCTTACATTGACACCCTTAAGCCATCCCTGACGAGCTAGTATTTTTATTTCAGAGTTTTAGGCTTTTTCTGGTCTCTATATATGGCCTCAGTCTATATAGTTAATCACCAAATGATAAAACAATGTCACTCATAAATGATCTGTAAAACAATCCAAGTTTGGTTTGATCTAACTCTCCACCATGTCTCGATTGTGGTACGGCCCAAGCTTTGTGTGCCGCATTATTCTCAGGAGTACAGAATTTAACCATCACTGCTTTAGTGAGTGCAGTCTAACTGACCACACTCCCTATCCCAGTTTTGCAGACGGGGGTAGGTGGCAGAGAAATCTACCGCGCCACGCAACAATCTAATTCTCTGTCACTCTGCATCTCTCCATAACATCGTTCCACTCTGCAACTGTTCTACCAGAGAGACTTCCACATCTTCTATTTACTTGTATACTTATTTTTTAAACCTTTCCCCGTATTGCTTTAGCCTCCAAATATTAATATATTATTGATGGCTTATAGATTAATATTTGATATACTGCCCCTCTATTTTTATAAAGTTAGGCTGTTTTAGGTCCGTGAGACTAAATACTGATAAAATCTAAGACTAATTAAACAAATCCCATAGCTCACTAACAAGGCACAGATATTCAATATATGTATGAAACGATGTCTTGCCAAGTCAGACTGTCAATGAATTAGGCATGATACAACCAGTGTTATTCATGGAAATGTTATTTTGACCAAAATAGCCAAACTGAAAAATTATCTTAATTTTGTTTCTGATAGTTTCTTCAAATCCCCACTGGGGGGCATCACTGATCAGGGGTTCCCATAAAGCAAGCAATAGATTGCACATTTCGGGGGTGGGGGGGGGAATCTTCTCTGCAGAATGCAGCTTTGTGAATAACTCAGGGTTTTTGTTTGTGAATGTTCAGTCTGCGTGATAACTGGATTTGTCTATCAGCTGTTTGTACCCTTGATTTTACATATAGATAATGTGAATAATCAGAAGATATTTCATCCTTGTAGGATGCTCGATCGGTCATAGACATTGTCTATGTGACATCACTTTTCCTGTACATGTAAACAGATTCTAACTATAGACGTTTCTAACTTACCTGAATTGTTACACCATGTGCCTGAGACACTAACTTGAAATTTAATAAAAAATTAATCGTTTCAACCATCTGACACATCTGGTCCTTGTTCATTTATATCCCTGGAGTGTGTGGATTCTGACGTGTGTAGAGTCTATCATATTCTGGTGACCGTTCATATGTGGATTTATTCAAATGTTTATCTTCGTTTTATTTGTAGTCAAGTGTAAATACATATTAAATAAAATATATGATGATTTATAATGAGCTGGTTCTATATAGGATATAAAATAAGACTGATTTTGTTTTATACTATAGAGAGATTGAGAAGGAAACATCTGAAATTATATAGATACAAAAAGTAAGTTTGGCACTCTTCCTCAGGATAGTACTTAAATGCTGTGACCAGGGTGCAAACCCGCAATAGAAATCATAAAGGTGCACACCTGGATTTAAAAATGTAAACTTAATTTATTGTGCAAAAAAAATGTTCAAAGGATCGACGTTTCACCCTCTATAAGGTCTTTCTCAAGATCAGAAACATCTGAAATGATATATATTACAATCCGGATTGCTTTTCCTTGAATGGAGTTTGTTCTGTTTTGAGACCCAGTAGGCTACCTTTTGGGTGTTATAACACACGTGTTGAGTGTAGCTGTTCAATGCTGATTACGTACCGTATACAATGTGTCTGCACTTTGGTAAGGTATCCTATATTGCATTTTACTTTATGTTCACATGACACTTCTTATTGGGAGGTAATATGTTTTATTATCTGCGATATGAAGCACTGCTTATCTGGGGTAATACTCCTCTTGCTTGGGTTCCTTGTGTATTCCCGTTTAGTGATATTTCTCTTGTGAACATTTTGCTGCTTGGTGTCCGATATTGTGGCCTGACTGTAATCTTGTAATTTTAGTAATATTGACAATGGGAGGTATATAACTAATGTGGTGTCACTTTTATATATAAATTAAGGGTGAGTGTGTTAGGGTATGTGCTTCACTTGCGTGTTTATGTACCATTAGATTTGATCTGGTATCACTGCTTTTAGGTGATTGCTTTGGGCTGTCCCTAGGTGATTGCTTTGGGCTGTCCCTGGGTGATTGCTTTGGGCTGTCCCTAGGTGATTGCTTTGGGCTGTCCCTGGGTGATTGCTTCGGGCTGTCCCTGGGTGATTGCTTCGGGCTGTCCCTGGGTGATTGCTTCGGGCTGTCCCTGGGTGATTGCTTCGGGCTAATTGGTCAGAACTGGTAATGTGATTTTTGTATCTGGGATTTTTAAGGGTGTTTGTAGTTAGAAAAAGTTTGGTTGAAAAGTCCAGTGAGGGCTCTCCTTCATCATTATATATAATGCTACCCACGTGGAGACATCCACCAGGGAGAGACGCAAGCCCTAGCCGACACTCTGCAACTAGCAGGCGGCTTTACTACCTGCCGACTAATGGGGGAAGCGCTACCATTCAAATTGGTTTTGCTCCCTTTCTCCCGATTGGTCGGCAAAACATCTCCCCTCCCTGAATGCTGATTGGCCGCTACGTGTTTGCGCCCTTTCTCCGTATTGGCTGCTGCTTTCACCGGCCTAAACCAAGTGATCTTATGGAACTGTTTTCGGGTATGTACAGAGCCTCGAGCCCAGACTTTACACGATGATTTCTCAGGCTCTGTACATCCGATCACTTCGAAATTTGGAGGGAGCATAGCTAGGACCAGGAGCTATTTAGGGGTATGGGACATGTGGGAATGCATTACTGTGTTCTGTGTATTTTGTGTGTGTTTTTGTATGTCTGCTTCCTGTGCCTGGCAGACAGCATTATCCCCCAGACACAGCGATGCCACGGCGGGCTTATGTTTTACATTACTGTGGATGGAGACCCCCTGTGGGGATCTGTGCATAAATACTGTGTATCTGGCCTTCAATACACAGATCCTGCTGTACCCTTCATCATGTGTAGGCTGATGTTTGGGTAACCAAGAGCTCTAATCACTGCTTCGCTTGAGAAATGGGAGAATCACAACGGATTATGGGGGATCCGTTAAAATTATATATATATAATCTATCTATCTCAAACAATAGATACAAAAGTAATAAAAATTATACTTATCAACAATAAGGAAGCAGCCTCCCACAGATCACTTTCCAAGTATTTATTTATTACTGGTATTTATAAAGCGCCAACAGATTCCACAGCGCTGTACAATTAGTGGAGAATGTACAATACACACCAACAAGGTAGAGAGAGCCCTGCCCTTAAGCGGATAACTAGCCTTGGAGCTCTTTTATACAAAGTGCTTAGCTAGATAGCCCGTGAGCTTACAATCTAAAGGATACAATAGAGATTTAAGACAAGAGGTAGCAGGGGAAATTTGATGGCTAAAAGAATTAAAGGACCACTACAGACACCCAGATCACATCAGCTCAATGAAGTGGTCTGGGTGCCAGGTCCCTCTAGTTTTAACCCTGCAGCTGAAAACATAGCAGTTTCTGAGAACCTGCTATGTTTCACTGAGGGTTAATTCAGCCTCTGGTCGCTGTCTCACTGACGGCCACTAGAGGCCGCTTTTGCGATTCTTAGTGTGAAAATCACACTGAGAAGACGCTGGACGTCCATAGGAAAGCATTGAGTAATGCTTTCCTATGGGCGTTTTTAATGCGCGCACGGTTCTTGCTTCACGTGCGCATTCGGCTCCATTCGGGAGCTGACGTCCGAGGGGGAGGAGAGGTCACCAGTGCCGAGGGAGCCCAGCGCTGGATTAAGGTAAGTGGCTGAAGGGGTTTTTAACCCCTTCAGCCCAGCAGGAGGGGGGCCATGAGGGTGGGGGGGACTTAAGGGTTATATAGTGTCAGGAAAACAAGTTTTTCCTGGCACTATAGTGGTCCTTTAACAGAGAAAAGCAGCTATTGGTAAAATAATAAGGGAATGAAGAGGTAATTAAGGGAGAATCCCAAACAGCTGGAGGAGCGGGCTATATATTTAGGGGGAGAGTGTGTCGGAAGTGGTGAGGGTTGTACGATTTGCTCCAGGATGTTAAATGTAGTGGTCTTAATAAGCCATAGAATTATACAAACACACATGGGATTCAGCTGATATATCTAAAGAAAAATGAATAAACAGAACATTAAAACCGTTAAACAATCAAAAACACGTGCTGTTTTAGATTGCACTCACAAGATGTTTGAATAAGAAGCGCTCCAAAGGTGCCTGCCCCGAAGATGGGGGGCTATTAATCCTTCTCAGGATCAGGTATCACCGTTATTCAGGAACCAAACAGGACTATGGAAGGTAGATAGGCGTATAAAATATAGTTTATTTGATAAAAAAAAAAAGTTAAAAATATCGGTCTTATGCGTTTCGTCTTAACATTGGGACATCCTCAGAGACCAAATTATAACTAAAAGCAGGGACAAATCACAATGCTCCCAAATGCAAAATGTCAAAGAGTGTGTGTGTCAGTGTGTGTATCTGTGTTTCAAGATTTGTGTATGTGTCACTGTGTGTATCTAAGTGTGTAGGTCAGTATGTGTGTGTGTGTGTGTATCTATCAGTGTGTTTGTATGTCAGTGTGTGTATATGACACTGAGGATCTGAGTGTATGTGTCACTGTGTGTATCTGTGGGTGTAAGTGTGAGTATATGTCACTGTGTATATGAATGTGCGTGTATTTGTAAGTCAAGATGTGTGTCAGTGTGTGTGTATATGTCAGTGTGTGTGTATATGTCACTGTGTGTATCTGTGTGTATGTGTATTTGTGAGTCGATATGTGTGTATCTGTGTGCCACAATGTACCAGTGTGTGTGTGTATCTGTGTGTCAGATACATATACACACACACTGACACAGAGATACACACACTGGCACATACAAACACAGATATACACACCTTGACACACACCGGCACATACAAATACAGATAAACACACCTTGACACACAGATACATACACACTGTGTGTCAAGGTGTGTGTATGTATGTGCCAGTGTGTGTGTATCTGTGTGTCAGATTCATACACACTGGCACATACGAACACAGATACGCACACCTACACAGATGCACACACTTTGATGCTCAGATACACACACCTTGACACACAGATACATACATACACACAGATACACACTGTGTCAAGGTGTGTGTATCTGTGTGTCAGATACATACACATACACATTGACACACAGATACACACACTGGCACATACAAACACAGATACACACACCTTGACACACAGACACACATCGGCACAAAAAAACCGGCACAACTTATTTTCTTTTTTTTGCCGGGGGGGAGGTTTCACGATGTTGATACACTATGTCAAAGGGTTCGACAGGAAACATTAATTGTGAACCCCTACTCTAGGAGAAGAAAGCTATCAATTTCAAGTGTCAATTCTCTTAATAGTTAAAATTGTGAAAGAAATTTGCAATAAAAAATATATGATGTGCAATATGTGTAACTGACTTAATATATGATGGGCAATATATGTATCTGACTTAATATATGATGGGCAATATGTGTATCTGACTTAATATATGATGTGCAATATATGTATCTGACTTAATATATACTTGGCAATATGTGTAACTGACTTAATATATGATGTGCAATATATGTATCTGACTTAATATATGATGGGCAATATGTGTATCTGACTTAATATATGATGTACAATATATGTATCTGACTTAATATATGATGGGCAATATGTGTATCTGACTTAATATATGATTTGCAATATGTGTATCTGACTTAATATATGATGGGCAATATGTGTATCTGACTTAATATATGATGGGCAATATGTGTATCTGACTTAATATATGATGTGCAATATGTGTATCTGACTTAATATATGATGGGCAATATGTTTATCTGACTTAATATATGATGGGCAATATGTTTATCTGACTTAGTATATGATGCACCATGGGCACCAGGTTCGCCCCAAGCTATGCCAACACCTATATGAGGAGATGGGAAGATTTCTTTGTTTGGTCTAATCATGACTGGGGAGAAAACCTGGTGCTCTGGCGGAGATATATCGACAATGTTATTATTTTTTGGAAGGGGACTTTCTTGTTTTCTGGAGTTTGTGGATTATCTGAATGA